AAAAGCAGGGACGCCTGAGTTGAAGCAGCGATGATTCATCCCTTCGTTTGAGTGTCCGTTCCTACTTTTGCACGTTTTCGATAGAAATTAAGAAATATTTTTGATATATTTTCAGAATCCTCGAAAATAGTTCGGATAACATCCCTGCCTTAAAGCGTGGATGGTTTTTCACAGACCAGCCCCTCAAACAAATCACCAATTTTATTAATTTTCACCAAAAGGGACTTCTATTTCCGGTAGTAGTACGCGCGAAACACAGTAAATCTACTGCTCGTATTTAAAATTGAAGCGTATGCGACATGTAAATTAAGTTGAGAAACTTCGTTGCAGATTCTTGAAATGATGTTGTATTTTCATGTTGTCTCTCAAGAAAGACTGCTACCTCTTCGTTGAAGCTTCAAAGTATTTTAACACACCGGCAGCCCTATTACAGGCCTGCGGGTCCGGAACAGTACTACGTACTATGACTAGCACTACATATTGGTAATTAATTCGATTTCAAAATGGACTGGGGCATGCCAATCGAATCGACGGAGTAATCGACGGAACAAAGTAGCCAATGACATTTTCGAAAAAAACATTTCGACCAATCAAATTGCAGGCGTATCCGGTGCATTTGCCAAGCTTCTCCATTTCACAAACAGTTCAACGTTGCATCGGACAGGAGTCACAGTGAGTATAGTTAGTTCAAGTAAAATGACGCTCGACGATTTCGTCGAATCTACCGAAAATACCAAATTTCGCTCGAAAGCACAATAATATAGTACAAGTACTTAGTACTTGGAAGCTGAATCAGGCCACTGTCCGCTTGCTTGGAAGAAAATACTCGTGCGTACTAGTAGTACTTACTATGTATCCACGCTGCCCGTACAAAGTCATCAGTGGCCGACACGATAAAACTCATCATACAAATATTTGGACTTATTATGGCGACATGACCAGCGGAATGAGGTCGTTTCGATGGTTTAGCTCGGTGGGGAGAGTGCTGTTGTTGTGCGGTTGCTGGTTCGAAGGTGGTACAACCGTCAGTCTTCTGCCGCCCACTGCATGTGGAGGCTGTCCTCGGTAATGCTGATGAGGAGGGTGGTGGTGTTGCGTGGGTATGAAGCTGCCGTCCAAGTCGTCCAGATCGTTCACGGAAATGTTGGTAGTACTTCTGTCGCCTGTCGGGTGTTGAATGATGGATTCGTTGAGGCAATCAAACTTGGGCGGGGAGGTTGGGCCGCGGTTGAGGGCAGAAGAAGCGGACTTGAGAAAACGGGGGTTCGAGCTTCCGGTGGTTCGGGATGTTGGGGTCGGGGCTGCAGAGGACGACGACGGTGTCCCCGCGCGGGGATGCCACCCCCCACCCCCAAGAGTCGGCGTGGTGGTGCTACCTTTTGTCTGACCTACCAACATCAACAACGGGAAATGATAAAATATACAAACACGAAAACAGCCAAAGGGCAATCTCGAGATGACAACAAACACCAACACATCCAGGGCATCCCCGCAAACAGGATGTGGCAAAAACGAATATATATATATATATTTGTACCAAACCTTATTGCTGAATGCTATTACTAGTAGTACAAACTAGTACATATACTGTAGCAGTAGCCAAATGTGTCAACATCGTATACAGTGACAACTTGACAAGGAATCCAGGCAAGCAAGAGGGTACTATAACAACACTACGAGCGATGTCGTCATATATGTATTTAGATATTGTCAAATCGATTCGAAACTGGAGAATCGAATATCTTAAGAGAATGGATTAAAGAACCGCCTAAGCCAATCAAAGCACGTTCTTGAAAATTTCTGCCAATCCAAATGTTTGACTCGACCCAGTCGGGCAAAACCATATACAGTATATACTAATATGTGTATAGTATTGTTTATGCAAGCTTAAATTGGATCAAATGGATGCGAGCGCAAGTCCAAATACTGCATGGGTGAAATGCACTACTACGTAGTATATATATATATAACGTAGTAGTTCATATACTATTAATAGTATATCGATGCACTGCTCTCACATACAACACATCATAACTTTAGTAGATCGTTCGTGAAGAGAATACTAACATTACATAGCCAGCCAAAGCCCATCATATACAACACGTGGTTGTGTCAGATAAGCCTTCTCAATCGTCGGGTCATTGGTTCGTAAGCATCTTTGGTTGAGTAATACCTTGCAAAGTTGAATTCGATATCGTTATGGACGGGGTCAGGTACTTGGTGTGTTTCAGTTGACTGCCGATGCTGAGCTCACCACTGAGCCCGTTGGAGGTCGTACAGGAAGTGCACACGCGCAAACTTTGGCTCATGCCATCGACGTGCACTCGCCACGACTTGGAACAGGCTTTGCACACCACCTATAAATATATATATATATATCAATACACGATTCAATTGGTAAGTCATCGACTACAGTATGTAACAGCTTCATATCCCACCATCCATATTCAACGACCATATTGAATACTAGTACTAGTGTATTCGTCAACACAACATCCTATTCCATCCCCCAATATGGCAATTCACAAAGTACTCATTCCAGGGTACTCATTCCAGGGTAGTTATAATCCCCGAAACCCAGATACATCCCAAGTCATGTGAACGCACTACATATATATAAATAAAACACTCTTATTTGTGTATAACGAACAAGAATAAACGTACTTCGCCACACTTTCGACACGACCACTTGGTTCCGAACGTCCCAAATGCCACCTGGCAATCGAAGCAGCGGCTTCTGTTGCCCTTGAGCACGAGTTCTCGGTCGTTTAAGAAGGCAGTTCGGGTCAGCCGCTGGCCCCGCAGGAACAAATCCATATCCCCCAATGACTTGGCGCGCTTTTTTGCACTTAATTTCGACAGCCACGTGGGGATGTTGCCTGTCAAATAATATATGTTAAATCCTCATGGCCGGACAAATATATATATATATATGTTGTGAAGAACCAAGCAAGCAATTGAATGAAAAACAATACCGCGAAAGTCGGCCTGCAGCAACTGGAACGCGTGGAGGTACCCCGGCCGATCGGTTTCTAAAAATACATGCGCCAGCCGATGGTACGTGCCCCGGACGAACCCCATCGACGCCTCCAGGTCCGGACAACATGCCAACGACACGGACTTGAGGCACCGGACATACCCACGCCTGCCTTGTATGTCGAAATCATACCGGCACTATGCAAGTTGTTGAGCAACGTGAGTAACTAGCATTAAAACACAAACACACGAAAGGGCACGAATGGGGGCAGTGACGCTCGTGCAGTGTGTATCGATTGTATATTCACAAGAGATCCTCTAGTTTAGAACGATACGGACATTGGACATGTGTAGTACCTCGATGGCACAAAAGTCGCGGTGTTTCACCACGGCGACCACCGGACTGGCCACTGCCATCCATTTGATTCCGACAAATTTACGCGGGTTGGCTGGGGTCGGCGATGTCAGCGTATACAGCGGCGCGCCGTCCAACAAGTCCGGGGCAAAGTGCCGACGATACGCCTGGTACTCTTCGTCCGTTTCGGCCCGAAACAGACTGGCTACTTCGTCGATGGAAGCGTAGAGGTACGTGGAAGAGGCGTACGAGAGGACACCTGCCGGCGCGGCGGGATCGTACCCCTTCAACACTCGCAGGTCGTGGTCATCCTCGACGACGGACCACTTGATCGGGCCGTTGTGTAGCCTGGCATGGCGAATCTAACATGGTCATGTTTTTAGATGAGATGGATCACTACAGAGGTTATTAGAAAGCGGCGTGGGGGTGACAGTAACTACCACATCTATGGACGCGCGCGCGGCGAAGGCTTTGAGATCTGCCGTGTCCGTATCACTGAGCTGCGGACACTGGAAAAAGTGCGGCGGCAACGATAGCTTGGACATGTTTCTGGACGATAATTGTACGAATATGTAGTACTAATACTAGTATGTCGTGCAAACAACGATCTTGAGGACACCTAAACGAGATTCAGCTTGATGTTTGTCTTGGCGTGCAAATTCCGCATAAACAGACACTTTTCCAGTTGAGACGTGAGGATGAGAACAGCGTCATCTTGGTCAGAATCGGTGGACACTTGACTAGTGTGATGGTTCAATCACCTCCTCCAGGCATTACAGTACTGTATTGTGCGAGCGCTTACATAACGTGAATACATGCGACATCATCAACTACGCTTATTCGCACCAAAATGTAATACTAGTACTTATGTAATTAGTAGTAGTACCCCGAATACAGTGTTTTGACTGCTTCACCACTGTCGTCATGGCAAGACGACCAAGCCGAAGTATATTTGGGAATAATTCCCTCATTACAACAGTTCCGATGTTGCTTGTGAAGTACTCTTACGGTAGTTACTACAGTAGTACCCTATCCGGATACACTTTATTACTACTACGAGTATTATACGTACTAGTACTTCTAGCAGTACAGTGGTTAGCTATCACTAACTTACTGAGATTCACATAACCCCTAGTAAGAGGTGAGGTGGTCAGCGAATACTAACAGTGCCATATAAACACCAATTCGGAGAAAAGAAACAGGGGAACTGTTTTAAGTAATCTAACGGTCAATTCAATATTGAATCACGCTGGAACTTCTGATTGATATAATACGGGAGTCAATTTAGGAAAAAAATTCAATTTTCATTTTCGATTCTACTTTTCACACTTTTTGCTTTTTCATCGCGAAAACCAAGAGCATCTTGACGTTGGTGGAGCCCACCTCATGTAACGATGAAAATACCCAATCATCATCGCAGCCTATTCCATGGCATACAACTACTAATAGAAACACGAACACGGAGCGCCAGTCACCAATTGCCAACCGACAGCTCAAGCCGCAAGTGACGTAATCAGGTGGCGTAGGGAGCATGAAGCGCGAGCTTAGGAGCATGAAGAGTTATAGTAGAAGCATACATAACTACTTCGTCGTCGAATAAGACGATTGTGCAGTGTGGGTCGTAATCGAGGTGACCAAATTGGACACCGCCATTCGAAAGCCTTCGATAGTCGACGAGAATTCCCACCCTCCCTACCTGACGTCACCCCTCTTTTCAATGCGGTTACGAATGGCCAAATTGACTGACCCCACATTGCTTTTCGTGGAAGCAAATAAAAATACAAAAAAATATAAATTTGCTTTTCACAATCGAACGAAAAGCGGAAATTTGGGAAATTTGTAGCAAATTCATACTCTTAATCCTAGTAGTACAGTAGGTAGTATTAATATTAAGTAATATTAATACTACGTACTGTACTACTATGCTACAAATTTTTCACACGGAGTAAAATTAATACAGTGATCCCTCAACGTTTGATCGCTTTTCCAAATATAAATTTTCCACGCCAGCCTATTGTACAAAGAAACCGCAAACATTAACTTTGAAGGGTGGCTATCTGCTGGTCATTAACTGTAAGCAAAAGCTGAAGTGAATGGCCCAAGTTCCGAGGTAGAACCCCCGTATGGGCCCAGCAGTTGCGAATGGTCGTTGATGTGACGGCGGAAACCGACCAACGCATTGCCGTGAGCACGTCCACGGCGTACAAGTTTCTTGGTTCGCGACCGGACTCGACGGTAGGATCATCAATCATGTCTACAACATGATCCATTTGACGACGCTTGTAGTGGCTCTTGAACGCAGTACTCTCTGTAGTACTCTTTAATCGAGTTCTTGTCGTGAATTGTCAACCGCTTGCTTTGCTTGCACTTGTTTTGCATGCCCTCAAATGTCTTTGTGTGTAGTTGTCAATGTGAGGTGTTTTGCTCCTCAATTTTGAATTTTCAAACGATGCATGCATGTCATAAGGCCCCTAGTAAATTAATATCAAATAAAATTTAACGGAGTATAAATTTATACCAGGGAGCAAACTTTGAGGGATGGATCACTGTACCAGGTACTACGTCTGTACTACTGTACTAGGATTAAGAGTATGACTTTGCTACAAATTTCCCAATTCTGCGCACTTACTATGAAAACTCTTTTTGACCAATCATATATAGCCATCTACTTGGTTTCCTATTCTGATTAGTCAAATGTACACTTGTCCTTTCTATATAAGAGCCAATCAGATCCACTCCAAATAGGAGCAGCCAATCGCGACGGCAAGATCGCGACATATTTGAAACCGCATCAACACAATAACATATGGCTTTCCATGAAATCCAGCTGGTCCAATAATGATGCTTCGAAGTACGAGTAATACGTAAGAGCCTGTTCCAAGTACTTTTCAAAATGGGCATTATCCAATCAAAACGCTCCCCAACTCATTACAAAATCCATTTTTCAAAATGGGGTACATGACCCCATTTCATCCCATTTTGGGCACCTCAGCTGTTTCGCCAATGACTGGCTAATAATGGATGCCCACTATCCAATCATTGATCCCAATCTCATTCCAACTTTTCAATTTGACATCATGGACTCATGGACTCGGCCACTGTAGCGTGAGTTGCTGCCGTTGGCGCCGCCTTTCGATCGACGAACGTAGCAACCGCGCCCCTGGCATCAACACTGTTGTCGTACCCAGTACCACGTGGTAGCAAGTCAAGACCGACGGCACATACGACGGATGGTTCACGCGCCACCTGCGCTGCACCCGCCACACCTTTGTGTGTATCGCCGACAACACTGTGTTATTGACCAATCAGCATGCATCTTAGTCTAATGATTTATGTCCAATCAATCATGGTCATAGAATGGGTAGAAAATGGGATGAAATATTTTGTCACCCCATTTTTCGTTTTTTTCCAATTCTACTTGGAACAGGCTCTAAAGGTGCAAAGAGACACCAAGCGACGCCATCGAGTTGTGGCTTGAACATGGAAGCATACAGTACTGTATAACTGTATGCATGTACAGTACATACCTTCATTCCTCTAAGTGCATATATATATAACGTAGATTTCCAATTTAAGAGACTTATTTTGGAGTCGCTGCCGGGAAGTGGAAGCAGCTCGGCACTGAGGAATGGGTTTCGACTTCTGAAAACTGATAATTGAACGAGAAAAATCATTATATTAGTGAAAATCGTGATTTTGTCACTTATATTAGTGAGGATTAGCCCTTCTAATGTCAGTGTTCGAACAGAAACATGTTAGAGCATGTTCAAATTCCGATGCCCAAAGTCTCCCAAGATGAGTTGCAAATACGACATAGTGTTCTAACATGTTCTAACAAATATGATGGTCGAACAGATAATGTTCAAACATATTCTAACCTACTGAACACTCATAACAAGCGCGATTCGCCGTTTGACGCAAACCTTTTTGCCTTCGGCCGTCCACGCTTTCTCTTCATGCTGTGGGCAAGAGCTGGAGGTGGCTTGACAAGCTCATCGGACGCAAGATCACGAGGCAGAGATGGGAACACAGTTCTTGAGTACAACGTTTGTTCGGACTCATTGAAGTACACAAGTGGCCACTCTACAAAATGTCAGCAATACGGCATACAAGCAGGTTCTTACTGTGCGTCTTTGTTGCAGCAAGAGCACGACAGCAAGGGAGCAGTGAGTCTTGCCAGTAGCCACACGTGCACGTTCTTTCAGGGACGTCAACAATGTGGACACGGTGGGTGAATTTCGTTGCAGCTACTTCACAGTGCCGGACAGTGAACATTCCAATATGGCGTACATCGCGGACGCCCTTGTTCAACTCGAACGCGATATACTCGCGTGACCTCTTGAGTTGCTGGTTGAGGTGCCTCTTAGCAGCTTCAACAAGACCGCCTGGCCTTCGTCCAACGACTTGATCATAGCGTTTCTTGAACTTCCACATGAGCTTTGTCATGTAGCCGTACAAATCGGACACGGGATTCGACGCGCGGAGAAGGACCCCGAGCCATGCATTTTTTTGTTCAGCGCCATTTGACGTTTTGACTACGTAAGTTGCGAAACCAGCTTGGTTGATGGCCCACGTGGACCAATGCTGCATCCCTCCCGGGATCGCTTCGAGGTACAAAAATGCTCTTGGTACCGTTTCTCGTACTTCATGCATCGCTTTTGTTGCTTTGTCTTCTGTTGTGGCATCGGCTACTCTGTATAACAGATTCTTGTCGGTGTCGCTCAGCTTGATTTTTTGCTTCGAATGTTCAAGCATATATGCCACATGCAATATCTATGCTAACACATAGGATACACAACCTTGATTGCGTTGATCATACCTATAATGCCATATGAGGTTCCGTCCGAGTACTAGTTACATACCCTTATCGCGATCCGAAGCAAACAACGTTGCGTTTTCATCGAAGCCCATGCTGCTACTCTTCAGGTGCTTGAGGAACCATGTCCAGTTCAGTTCATCGTCTTGTGGGACGATGGCAATGGCAGCGAGAAGGTTACAATGGGATCCATCTTTGACACTTGCAGTGAGATATACCCCTGACTTTGAAAACAGGCCTTTTGAAAAAACAGCGCGTGAATTCGTTGCTCTCGTTCGTCTCAAACACGCTGTATGTACCTACCCGATTTGTTCAAAACTGTTCGAACTTGGTAGAACATCATCTCACCGCCATTGTCTTCGGCGAGTTGGACCATGTACGCGTGCAGCTTTTGGTACCCTGCAGCAACTGTGCCGGAGATCAAGTCCAGTGCCAGCTTCTTCACATTGGTTATGAATGTGCCGGCCGTATTCACTCCCGTCGCCTTCATGATCGCAGCTCGAATGATGTTGCTCGTAAGTAATTGTACGTCGGGATCGGGCGACGTATTCCGCAACGTTCTTCGCTGCCTACATTTCTCAATGAGCACACAATGATATCGGCACAACGCACCGCTTGACAAGTGAGTATTGTGTTCCTCTCCGATGTGTGTTTCGTTATCGTTGTTCCCGCAGTCCACTCATCTTCAGCATCCAACATGTTCCAATACACGTCCTGATCGCCGTAGCGTCGTCGTCGGTCATGGTTTTCCTCGCTGCTGCTGTGGGAAGCTCGCTCCGGTGGGCGTCCGCTTTGGTTGTGAACAAAAATTGCGAATGTGCAAGGTGTGCTTGCGTAACGACCACCTATTGATAGAACGATATGTTGACAAAGCCCATGCCTAGGGTTGCACCTGTCCGTACTTGCGAATGGAAGCACAGACTTTAAAGTTGCACAGGTCGTGCACCACCACGTTCGGTGAGTCGAGCACCCCTTCACACGAACTTCGAAGCCAGCCGCGAGAGCCAAGTGAAGTATACGTGACCGGCACTGTTGGAATGAGTCGAAGGCGTCACCCCCTTGAACTAACCCAATGCTCGTTGCCAATGCCAAGTACCATTCCGGACAGGAGGTTGTGTCGACAGTAACTTCTGGGCGATTGGCGCTCTCGCGCTTCAGGATTCTTTGCACTTGCATGGTGGGTTACGAAGTGTTCACTTGTGCGCAGCGCAAAGGAGTCGATTCCGGTTTCGTGCATGATTAGCGTCATTCGATTGGCTATTTTTTTAGTGTTTAGGTTTATTGCTTCACACATGCCCTGTGATTGGTTCGTGGACATTGGTTTTCCAGTACACTGTCTTCTCGCGCCATTGCAGTTTGTCACGGAGAAGTACAGGGAGGCAACATGCAAGGGGAAGAAAGCATCTCAGTCAACGTCACAGCGAACCTGGACAATGTGTCGAACTTGTTCGAACAGAAACTTGAGTCGATGTGTTCGAACAAGCTCGCACAGGGCCATCTTTCGAGCTGTGGTGCAAGCAGCATGCTGGAACGACACTTGGTCGGCAACTGGGGTTCGAAGTCAACGACGACAATGGCAACACGAAGGTCTGGTGGCGTTCGTGGAAGAAATCCCACGAGGCCTACAACGAATTTGCCTGGACGACTGGTTCGCAACTCGTGTTGCGAGACCTGATGTCTGGCGAAGAGGTTACGTTTCAGTACGATATTGCGACGAACGATCCAACGAGTTTCCAATGCAAATGCGCGAGCGAGTAACGTTACTGTCGTGGAACTATGGCCGCGGTGCAAAGAGTCAAGCGTTCCCACAGTGAGGGGCGTGTGATGGAGGCCACCGCCGCACTTGAACTGGGTGTCGACATGCCGCAATTCGCCGCCAAGGTCTCTGCAAAGCAAGAACCACTTGTCCGCAACCAAGCGCTGGCAGCAATTGCCCACGACAAAAATCACTTCTACGGCAGCCTGGACGACAAAATCAGACAATTGGGGCTGATTCAAGGCACGTCAGCGACAAATGGGCATTGCCTCTTTTCAGCACTTGACTGCTATGTTGAGGGTATCCGTCATGCTGTCGTCGACAAGAAAGGAAACGTCAAGGACCCACTCACAATCCAAGCGCATGCGCGAGACGCTTCGTGCAATCGAAGCGGCGGCAATGTTCGACGAAATCAGCATCTTGTACGACAACCAGCCTACCGTTCGTAAGAGTATTCTTCAAGGCAAGAGCGTCCGGGAGTCAGTCACAGCTCTTTTCTCTGCCCGTTTCAAGGCGGCAAAGGACGCATCGAAACCCTGGGAAAACGCAGACCTTTGGGGACACTCGGCAGACATTTGCGCTTTTCGACGACTCGTGCACGAAGACATTTATGTGTTCGGAGAGAGCAAAGAGAAGGACAAGAAGGTCGTGTGGACTTTGGAAAAGTATGGATACCCCGAGTCAAGTCGAAAGCGTGGTGTGTTCAAGTTCGTGCGAGACCAAGTTCCAATGAGCGAGTGGACAAGTGCAGTGAAGTTCAATCGCGATGCTTTGTTTCTAAAAAACAAGACCAAATTGCACTGATACCCACTGTTGACCATGGGACGAGCAAACGCAACAACTTAGTCCTGCTGATAATATTGAAGCGTTTCATTACACTTGATTGTTCTACCACAGTTCCTGTTCTACTTGTTAGAACACGTAAAACATGTTCGAACACAACATGTTCAAACAAAGCGGAATGTCTGTGTTAGAACGTGTCGGAATTAGAGCATGTTCTAACGTGTTGCTGTTAGATCAGCGCGGACGGGGGATATTTTGTCACTAATGTAAGTGACAAAATCACGATTTTCACTAATATAATGATTTTTCTCTAATTGACTGTGAACAGGAAACGCAGGTATTTCCAACAAGCACTGAAACATCTATTTTCACAGTATCTATCATGTCCTAATGTCCCATTTTCTAAGCAGAAACACCTCAAAAGTAGGGGATAATTTAAGAGACATATTTTAAGCTTGATCGTAGTATTGATCCATGCATATATTTTTTGTGGTTAGGGTATAATATTCAGTCAGGTACATATGCAACCTCAACAGGTTATGTATTTATAGAGCCAATTGGTTAATTGATTTATATAAAACACATGGGATCATGAAGAACATTTATTTAAAGAGGTATTTCTACACATATTTCAAGGTGGGTGATTGGCTGAATCCGATGTCCCTTAAATTGTCCCATGTCTCGTAAATTGGAAATCTACGTTATATATATATATATATGGGCGAGCTTTGGATTATAAAAGCAAACACTGATAGTGTGTCCTACATCCGAGCGGAGGTTGTTCCATCCGAATGTGCTGCCACGTACAATTGTCAAGTCGGTTCATACTGTAATTGGAGTCGCCAGTAGAATCGAATCCAGTAGACTTGGCAAATCAATTTGAGAATAAACTAGCCAATCAAAATCCATTCTTTACAAGATTTCTGCATGGTTGAGCCAATCAATACGTGTTCTAAAACACCCATTGCAGATTGAACTCACTCTAAGTATGTGCTATAGTGAATACAATATACTTATAGTTCATTCGGTTTCACTATTGAACAGTCCAAATTTATGTAAGAAGGACAATCAATACATGTAAAGAGTTAACGGGAGCGCGACGTTGAGTTCCTTGGCCCGGGGTTCGGTATGGGAAAGTCGAAGCTCGCCCGGCACGTCGATCGTGAACCGCCGCCACGACTTGACATCCAACACGTAAAACGTGGCCCTGACCTGCACGACGAGCATCCCATTCAACGCCGCCGATGCCTTGTCCAGGTAATACACCTACAGTACATATGTAGTGCGGAATAGGACCAATATATATTGTCAAGTCGATTCGACATTCGAGTGTTTCGGTGCTCAATCGAATGAGCAGAATCACCAAATAAATCGACAATCAATATATTCGACCAATCAAAACCCACAACACGAATCAAGTAGCCAATCAAAGTATACACTCACATTCGACCAAAGCAACATATCGAATTAGTATGTGACTTCAATTAGTGTGACACTGAACGATCTTTACAAAAGTCAGTACTTAGTATACCAAGAATTGATTAATAGATTAGGCGAATCAGCACAAAAATCGTCCAAATTTTGGGTAAATGGACAATACTGCATCTCAAAGTGACGAGTGACACTTTTTGATTTGTATCATATTACTAGTATAAGGGTTTTTCGAATATGATATAATTTATGCGAATTCAACAATGGTTTCGTATTTATATTAGAGGTTATCAGTAAACAAGGTTGAAATTGACTATCATTCCGAGTTGTTTTTTTGTATTGTATCTCACACAATATTGTGTTTTAGAGTCAATTGAACACGGCAGTCATCCGGTAAAAGCATCGAATTAGAAAAATACTATGATTTGACTGACATAACTGGTAGAACTCATCTCTCAACGTGTACATAGACGAACAGCATTTGGTTACCTCGTGAAACATCCACGAGTCGGTGTTATACATCCATTTGGCACTGGCACACAAGAACGGCGACGGGACGTGCTCTGTCACAGACAGCAACGGATGGCGGATACGTTCGTAGGCATAGCACACGCCACTCCACGTCACACATAGCGCCATGAGCACGGCCACCCGCCGCCACTGCCCGATTTCAATCGTTCCTGTATTCGATCAATCAACACTTGCCTTGGATCAATATTGTCGATTGGATAGTACAAATTTGGGGTGCAATCGAATCAACCGATCCACAATCGATCTGATTGGTGTTGAATTTCATTGAGAAATGGGTTTTGATTGGCTAATAATGTTGAGATCATCTGAGGTAGCCAATCAACTCGATTTCAATTCCAACGAGAAACCACAATGAAATTTCACTCGAACAAATAGCACACTACAACAACTGGAAATAGTGTCGAAGTCGATTCGAAATCGACAGACAATCTATCGACCAATCAAAACCCAGAACACGAATCAAGTGGCCAATCAATTTCACTCTTCGACCACTTCAACATCGAACTTTACATACAAGAGTAAACAATCGATCGATATTGTCAATTTGATACAAATTTGGGGAGGGGGTGCAATCGAATCGCGCCGATCAAACCGATCCACAATCGATCTGATTGGTTGAATTTCATTGAGAAGGTTTTGATTGGTTAATACTTTTGAGCTCACCTGACGTAGCCAATCAAATCGATTTAAATTCTAACGAGAAACCACGCCACCACACAATGAAATTTCACTCGAAAGCACAATAGTAAACAATATCGATCGATATGTATATTTGGCAAAGAATCCGCCCAAAAGTCCAAATTAATCATATATATTCGTACCAGCCGAGCACGACATGTCAAAATCCACAGCTCGAATCATGCAGTCGCGTCGTAATGTAGCGATGTCCCTCACGGGGCTTGCAAAACTGAGCACACCCGACGCCATCCACACGATGAGGCTCGACTTGAACGCGTACGGGGACGTGTACTGCCGGGTCACGACCATGAACATGTCATTCAGGACAAACGTGAACCACGACACTTCTCCCGCCGCGAGGAACATCTTGACTGCGCCCACAACGGTCAACGGGCGAGTACTAGTCGCGATAAAGTACGTCAGCACCCCCGACGACGACTGCTCCAGCTCGAGCGTGGCCGTGCTAAGTACACTCATCGCCGCCATGCTTCGGAGCAGCAGCAGCGGACGACCCATATACACGATTCCCGCCACACGGTTGAGTTTGAACATGTTGCGGCCTTCGATGTGCCCTCTTGCCACGAGAATGTACACGGTCGCAACCACCGACGCTGCAAAGATCGTGCCCGTGATGTACATTGTCGCATACCGAAGGTACAATGCGACGTTGGTGGGAATCTCCAGTGGCTGGGGGGATGTGGCTTGATATCGACTGGATGCTGTCGAGAGCAAGGTGATCCTGCCAACATCCCCTATACCATACACACGCACGTTGTACTGTTGAATTGTCGAGTCGATATTGGAGCCGACAATCGATATATGACCAATCAAAACCCAGATCACGAATCAAGTAGCCAATCAAAGTATCCACATCTCATGATTGTGTGGTAAAAATTAGTATGACTATTTCATTTACATATATAAAGTCAGTAGTATGAATAATCCAAACAATTGACGAATAGATTTCGCGAATAACAGTATTGTGATTTATTCGCTATAAACTTGCAAAAGTCGCCTGGTTTGTCTATTGATTTACGCTAGAGTTTTTGATATACTAGTCCTTTCGAGCCAATCAAGTCATCCACTCAAAAATGGAGTAGCCAATAGCGTTGATGAATCGTGAATCGATGATTCGATGGGTCGTCCACAATAACAACAGTGCACATTTTCTGTAATCAAGGACAACTACTATAAATTCAGTGATGGATGTACATACGTACGTACCTTGAAAGGTCACGACTTCTCGCACACCGAGAACCCAGTCATACATGAAACTCCATGCAAAGAGATGAAATGCCGCTTGATTCGTGTCAAACACGTTCATGTGATACAGTTGCGCGGGGGGGGGGTCGCCGCCCCCTTGTTCGAGTCGTCGTTGCGTCGCTGTGATGAGGACGACTTCCTCTGAAACATTGATGTTGATCGGGGGGGGGATGATCGGGGGGATGTCGATATCAACGACAGGACGGATGCCATACCCCGTGTCGGACGTGATGGTCTCATCCGGGACTGCAAATTGGGCGATTTCAATCGCCATATCCGCCACTTCGGCCTGAACGCGTTGAGCTTGTTCCTGTAGCGCCGTCCACGTCATATCACACGACAAGTTGGTTTCAACGTAGCGTTTGGTTGTCGAGAGCATCGTCAGCACATCAGCTGCTGCTTGGTCGTCGTCGCCGGCCAACTGACTTATCGCGGTCAAGTTGACGTTATCATTGTACATGGCGTTCACCCCCACTAAACTGTACACGATCGACATGGCGGTGGCGTCGATGTGTTCTGCTAGGATGGACGAACAGGCAGAACTGACCCCGTAGAATGAAAACATGGCCACGCGCGGCCACTTGTAGTCGCAAAGCAGGTTTCCCCCCACGAGATTCCAATCGACCAAGCCGGGGGGGGTCGGTCGCAGCACCTGCACTATTGGGAGGGTGGTCCACATCGTTTGTACTTGGGCGGGCTTTGAAGCGAGGGTCGCAACAATAAACTCGGTCACAGATGCAGTGAATTGCTGCAATGATGTTGGCACAGGGACGTGCCACGCGTCGATCGTACCATATGGACCTATCAATTGCCGCAATAACAGCGCTGTACTTGGCACTTGAACTGGAAATACATTGGTGACGGGAACTGTAAAGTCGACGAGCGTGCCATTTGCAATCATGAGCGCTTCAAGCGGCGACGGAACTTGGTCGCCGTCGTACAGGTAGTTGGCGCTGCCGCGGACTAGACTGGATTTGCCAAGCGCTAAGCCGTACCTGGTCACGGCGTCGAAATCCCCCACGAGCCCCCACGACAGTTTGCGGGATGTTTGGGTATCGAGGTGAAACGAGCTTTTCGTGTCCTTCAACGTCAAGTCGTACGCAACTCCGAACGCATTCACGACCTGGAAATACTCCACCACCCCAACCGACTTGAAGTTTTGCCACTGCATGGTAAAGTGCCGAATCCCCTCGCGCGACCAGTACCCTGCTTCGTCGGATACACTAGTCCTACTAGAACTACTAGTACTACTACCCCTCGTGGAATCGACCGACGCCGCGAGCCAGTCCAGGCCAGCGTCGGACGCGTTCAAGTCGTAGCGAATGGCCACGTCAAAGGCATCGCCCCAGCACCGGTTGAACTGGTTCCAGTTCAAGTTGCGTGCCATCGACTCAAAATACACGGCACCGTTGGCTGCGTACGCGGTGTCACAGCGCAGTTGGCGGGCCTCGGACCGAGCCATGGCCCAGCGTTGCTGAAAGTCCACCCAGCAGTATTGCGTCGATATCCACGGCACTTTGCACCCGTCCATGCTTCGTATACCGATGACAATCGCGTGCAATGACATCCGCATGTCGTACATAGCATGGGTCGCAGCAAACGACGTGAACTGGATGGGCGAGTTGGAGTCGTTGTACTTGTCCAGGGATGCAAACTCGAGCTTGGCCAACGTCGACGCCACGGCGGGGGCAGTCACGTTGGTTGTGTGCATCAATTGCTGGTGGTTGAACCAGTTGGCCAGATACAAGTGCGTGCCCGAGCTGTTAAAGTTGGGCCACCAAAAGTCGTTGGCCATATTCACTTGGGTCACTGCCAAGTACGACACACTAGCCGCGCTCGTCCCCACCATGTACACAAACCCTGCCCCAGCCAACACGACGAATTTCCACGTCGTCGCCACTGGGTGTGGTTGGTCCTGTGGCGGTGGATGTTGTTGCTGCAGCTTGTTCGATTCACAGTGCTCTGTAGCCTCGGGACAGGACTCGTTTGGTTTGGTGGCCACGTGAATGAACTGGTGAAAGTGCGTTTTGGCCGAGGGTATCGACGTCAAGTGGTAATTCAGCACGGACGACGGCACCACGACCCACAGCTTCAAGTCCAACACGTACTGTTTGTTCTGAAACATAAACGGGAGCAAGCCAGACATGACACACACGATTCGATCCAACGACTCGAGAGGCAGGCCATGCGTCCGGGGTAAGAACGCGGCGGACGCGCCTGGAAAAATTATAGGCGACTGCACCGTCGATCGGATCACGGATACGTAGAGGAGAAGCTCGGCCAGCCACGTTAGTAGTAGCGAGATTAGGGTCGAGCCAAGGGCAATGGCCACGAGCCATTGAGCCCGCGTGGAACTCCCAATTTCAACCACGCCACTGGAGCATGCAATATGCGTGTCCATGTTGACAAACGCGCAGTGCCGATCAATTTCTGTCGAGATGGCAACTACCGGGGTCGCAATATCCACGACAACGTAGATCACCCACGTAATCGCTGTGGCCACAGGGCAATACACTTTGGCGTACGAGTCGGTTACGATCAGCAACACATCTTGGATAACATATGCTACCCAAGTTGCTTCCCCCGCAACCACGAGCGTTTGAACCCAAGAACGAGGCATACCTTGTAAGTACGCCACGCCGTCCATCGATGTGGACAATACCACGGGCGACGTACTGAGCATAACAATGGCCGCGACTCCCCGTACTAACAGAAACGGGCGACCAATCCAAGTACATCCCACGACGCGATTAAAGTGCAACAGGGGGCGGCCGGGGGTGGCAACCCCCATGGCGTACATCAGCAAGATCACCGCCACCCCCCCCAGCACAAATGTCACGTACACCGAGATGTACCACACGTACTTGCACGCACGTTGGGGCACTTCAAGGTTGCTAGGGACGTACACGTGGTCCACGTCGGCGGTCGAAAGCAAGGCCAACGATTGCAAGTTGCCTTCAAACGACACAACTTCCCGCGTCCCAGTCATCCAATCGTACATGTGGAGCCAGCCTAGGAAATTCCACGCGACGTCGTCTGTCGTGACCAATGGTTGCACCAACAGGTTGGACTGGTCAAAGTAGTTTCCGTCGACGAACCCTTGATCGTCTGCAAATTGAATCAAACTGACGTTGGACGCTGCAACAAATGCGTCTCTGGCACGACGAAAATGCTCGTGCAGGTCCAGTGGAATCTGCGACAACGTGGATTGCCATTGCTCGTACACGGTATGGGCTTGGTGCACTACGTTCAAGCAAGTGTGTGACGTCGTTGGGCACAGGTCGCAGACGCTCGTGCGATTAAAGTCGTCTTGCCGCGATTGTATCGTCAAGTTTACTGCCATAGTCGCAAACAAGACGTGCCACTTGGACGTGGATACTGTATGCCGCACAGCACTTGTGCAAGTGTCGTCAAAACCAAACGGGGCTTGGACGTACGACGTCGGGGTGTTAAATACACACATGGGGTTGCCGCCGTAGAAAACTCGAAGCGGGTCGAGCCAAGAAGGGGGCACGGGGTCCAATTCAGTGTCTGGGATGGCGTTGAACATGGCAAACAGGGTCGGATCGTGATGCTCGATCAAGACGGTCCACATGGTTTGAAATGACTTTAACAGCGCAAGAGCACTCGGGGGACGCGGCACCACGTACATGTCGATGCTGTTTGTAGGCCCGAGTTCGCTTCGAAGCAAACTCACCACGGTGCCACTCGACGGCGACGCAAATGTGTCGTACACTACGACAAGGTCAAAGTCGTCGGTCGAGTTGCGCACGAGGCTGACGTTGGCATGGTCCAACTGGGTGTACACAATCCCCGTCATGTCATTCCAAATCCCCCAGTTCATGTATACAGAAGTCCACACTTGTTGACGAAACACGGGCTTCACTTGGTACGTGAGCACGTATTGGACCATCCCCAATGCATTGCGAATCGCTATGGATTCGTCCAGCCCTGTCATGAACAAGTTGCCCCACTGCAACCGGTACGTCGTCATGTGTTTCTGCCGCCAATATGCCGCTTCAACCTCCACCGACACGAACGCATTAGGCACCGATTTTAGCCACCGGACACCCAAGTCGCTTTGACCTAAGTACGTAGCAATGGACGCGGTGAAATCACTGCCACTCTGTGCCATCCATTCGTTCCACGGTACTATGCGAAGCATGCTCTCCATGTACACGGCGGCGTTGTCTGCATATCGATCCCGACATCGTTCCAGTCGACCTTGGGTGTGCGCCACGGGCCACAACCGATCAAAGTCTAGCCAGCAGTACGCTGTGTTGAGCTTCAACACGCTAGCGACCGACGTCGCGGTGTGGATGCCTTGAATGGCACCTTCAATGGACGTCAATTGCTCCGAGATCATGCGCCGAGGATATGTTGCCTTGAGCGCCACGACAGTGTCAGACCCACTGTAGTCTCTTTGGATGGCCATGTCCAAGATGGAGAAGGGCGTGGGCTGGTGGTCGGCAGTGGTGGAGTCGACGTAGTTGTTTTCGAGATGGAATGCATCAATCACAAACGTTTGAGTGCCCGTCGAGTTGAACTGGGGCCAAAACAGGTCGTTGCCCATGTAAGGTTCCAATATCGTGAGGTACCACATCGACAACCCTATAGTTGCCACGAGGTACACGAAGCCGAAGTAGGCGGAACTTCCGGCATGTCTGTCCAAGAAGGATGGGTCGGGCGTTGGCGATGAAGCCGAGTCGAATGGCCCCACGCGGTTCATTGTGGTGCGTGCACCAACCCGGAATACTGTAATCGATCGATTTACGCAACCACATTGCGGTTTCACCCCCGACGACGAAACGACGTGGGCCAGCAGAGGAATTTCGAACCTCGACACCGACCAACGAACTGGCAATGTACAATGCTGTCAGTACCGACATGAAGACCACTTAGCATACGACATTCAGGGTTTGGTGAAGTACCGGGGACTTTGTAGAGGTAGGTGCTTTGGCCACCATCAGCCCTTCTTGCAATTCCCACCGTTGAGAAGCACGCCGTAACTCGTTCTTGAGCGTTGGTGGGTGAATTCAGAAATGTCATCTCCATGGCATTAAATAATATCCTCGGAGCCGTTCGCGTCCAAAACGCTTCTGTTTTCTCGACCTGGGTGCTTGAGTAACACGGTGTAAGACGAACTGTATAGTACGTACAACATGCATGACCTGAAGTTCGGCTCGAACCAGACGAAACGCGCCCAATGTGAACTCTGGTTTATGTCGATCCGCACTCTTGCCACTTGCACGACTGAAAGGCTTGACACCGTCCTCGACAATCACTTTCAAGCTGAATCCAGTGAGTGGAACTGGCTGCAAGCGCTCACTGCACGCAACGATGTTCTAATGACAAGCACCGGACAACTTGCCATAAAGTTATCACACTTTCATGCCATCATGCACCTTGTTCTCGATAGAAGCAGCAGCACGCCAAGGTGGGGGGGCACTGCCTGTCTTCCCGAATTGTGACCAGCGTACACGATGCTGTGTGATTCGCACATACCTCCAGCATGTGATGATCGCATACATACACCCATCGGATACCACGGTCTTGTCAGCATGGAACGAACGTAGTGCATGAGGTCATGTACGCATGTGACGTCGCCATCGTCGGTGCCTTCCCTCGAGTTCTCGCGCGCAAAAAAGGAAATGGCAAATTTGAAAATGTTCACCCTTCAAAATCAATATATGTCATGCTCGATAACCCTTGAAAATGAATAGGTGGATTTAGAATTTAGTCTCACAAACCGTGCAAACCTTCCTTTCAGTTCTGTTGATCCTACTTTTCATACTGTAACTTGCACGGGACATGATCTCAACTCTTCTCCATGCCTGCAGCCTCTGGGCCCAAGCAAGCATGTACGTGAGGGACGAGCTCTTGGATGTCCACTGCGTGCTGCAGCTTGCCGTCGACTTGCACCAACGTGGCGCGCTCTCACCGACTCTTGAGGTGCTCGGATGCCGGCAGTGTCGTTGCGGCAGGTTACACGTCGCAGCACCCAAACTCTTGCATGCACTTTCCGACCTGATTGCCCACGAAGAGCACTTATTGCACATGGCAATACGCCACTTGGCTGTCCACGTCATGCAAGACCGCTCGTGGACCCTGCAAGTTCTGGACGTCCTTCGTCCCGCGCAAAGCTGCCTGGGCGTAGTGTGTGCCATAGGTACACTTCCGCCATCGTCGTGCGCGTACGTGTTTACCATTTGACCACGTAGATACAATGAAGCTTCCATTATGGCTCCAGGCGCATCGTTCCGCGATCCTTGAAGCCTGTGGCGGTCGCCACTACCTCGCCGTCCATCGACGATTCGTCCGCTCGATGTTATCACCGTCATCACACATCGAGGAGCTTACATCCCTCTTACACAAGGAACCCCCCGAGGACGATCCCGACACTGCAGATTCCTACACGTCGTGCGACCAGTGTACGGTATTCGTGCCCTCGTTGGCCGTGCCGTTGCTACCCCATCTTCGACACATCGGCACGTTCACGTCAGTTCGGCTACGAAAGGCTCGACTCACATACCACCCGATGACTCCGCTGCTCACCGCGTGTACAGGTATACAATATACATACCCTCATGCAACTGTGATGTTCTCCTAATCACGTTGCATTAGACACGACTGCGGCGACGGTGCCAGGACATGCGATGTCCCATCCTACATCGCCGTCGTGGCTGCAGTTGGCTGCGATGGAACTGCATATTCGCTTGGGCATGTTTCACTACACTACTCGGCGGCGATGGCCCTCCACGGACATGGACACAAGCAGTCTCGGATCACCATCTTCGCTCTTGGTACTGTGCAGTTCAAAGCTATCCAAGTATCCCCATATTGTGCTCGCACCAGAACTTGAGGTAATTATATTATACACGACACCAACCTCTCTTTGTCGTGGAAATATTTTGATAATATATATTTTCGTGGATTTTGTATATATTAACTTGGAATGTGGGCTAACGTTATCGTTAAATACGCCTTGGTTACTTGAAAACAATGCATGTTTGAAACGTTAGCTTGATAGAACATGGGAGATTCTCGTTTATTACTTATATTATTATAAAATTCAAGCAAATAGTAGCGAATAGTACGATTTGTTCGATATAGTGTGTGACGTTATTCGCTTGATTACATGAGATGTATATATATATATATATATAGGTGGACGATGCTAGGTCGGTGCCGTACTGTGAGTACTTATATCATTAGACTGAAGCAAATATGGGCAAAACATGACTATGTGTTCGAGATAGGAAAAGTATTAGAAAATATTATTCCTATTTGTTGGAGATAGTATCTTGATAACATGATGTATATATATATATATATGATTAGGTGGACGACGCTGGGTCGGTGCCGTACTTGGTCGAATGTCATGGGGGTAATATCCCCATCGTGCTGTCCATTCCGCACGGCGGGAGTGCCGCGTGTCGACTGTTTGGGACGTGGCAAAAGGAGCATTTGCATCTGCGGAAACCATCTTCGACTTCGAAGAAGCGCTTCTCCAACCTGTCGGATGCCCGAACCGTGCACGTGGCTGCAGGTTGTTCATTTTTTCCCTTTCTGTGAGTTGCTCACAACGTGGCTTAGAAACGGCAGCCACGTTGGACGGAAACATGCAGCCGTACATGGTGCTGGCCAAGTTTCACCGCAAGTTTGTCGACGTCAACCGCGCCATCCACGACGACGCGTACGTGCCCAAGAAAGCGCTTGCGGCTCGAATGTATGCGCATTATCACAGGTACTACATATTGTCCTTCTTGTACCTCACATTTGGCCGACGTTTGTGCTGCTTTGCCAACTATCGATCGATATCTATCGATTCTATGTCCTGACTAGTGTATGTCAAAAGGTCCAGTGTCACACTAATTTCAGTCACACACTAATTCAATGTTGACTGGGTCGAAGAGTGGATAGTTTGATTGGCCACTTGATTCGTGATCTGGGTTTTGATTGGTCGATTTTCGATTGTCTGTCGACTATTTGGTTCACCCCCCACTCGAATTTCGAATCGACTTGACAATAACTATGATCAAGTGTCGGGGGTTATGGGGTTTTGGGGGTTTATTCGACAACTGTATGGTTAGCACGCTGGTGCATGTGCTGCAGGACATGTGGCTGCGGTTCCCCATGTTTGATCCGCTTTTGCTCGACATCCACGGCCAACGCGCCAAGACGTGTCCGACGCTCGGGATTTCCGCCGTCGAGTCGAAAGATATATTGTACACGGGCACTCGGAATGGACGGACGTTGCACTCGTTGCCCCTGCTTCAACGGTAACGTTATGAAACCAAATTATATATTATTGTCCCCTTCTTTTACCCGACATTTAACTGACTCGGATTCGCCAACTCTATCGATCGGTTTCTCTTTGTCCTTTTCACCCAAATTTGGACTTTATATTTGAGAAATCGACTCCAAGCCCAATTGTATACCATACAATGTACACCATACGAACATTGAATATAATTAGTTCAACTGGGACAACTACTGGGCGAAAGCCTTGGACTACCATTGGTTGGAATTTAGGATTGTGAAGAAATTTCATTGGCTAGTCGATTGGCTGCGGCGTTTGGGCTGCCGCTATTCGTTTGGACTACCCACGCCAACTTTGAATCAATCGAATGCATAATATGTAAATACTTGCCCTGTGGTGATGCCAATCACACTAATTTAGGTTTCACACTAATTCGATGTTTTTCATGTGATGGTTTCCTGCAATCTGATTGGCTTGGTTCTTCTGCTTATAATTCTTCGGTACATTTGGTTGTGTCGATTGTTCCTTCTCGATGGCGCTGCAGTTTAGAATACACTCAACAATACTACCTTTTTTAGGCAATTTGGACTAGCGCTGGACGCGGCGTTGCGGCACCATGGATTCCAGGGCATGTACCCGCCGCCCTCCATGACCGTGCCCGAACGCTCCGAGTTTCTTGGTGGCCATATTGTGCAGTATGTCGATATATATATATATATATCGACCATATATATACATATATACGTTTTCAGCAAAATAATTGGATATTTGAGCAGATTCACCAAATCCATCGGTTGATGTTGTTTTGTACTAAGTTTTGTATGTAAAACCCATTCCTGTGGTGATTCCAATCACATTAATTATACAGTAATATTGAGTTTGATGGGGTGAACTGACGATTTTCGGCAATTTGCTCCAGTTTAGAATATACACAACAATAGCGAGCAGAGGTGGGCAGGGAAAATAGTATTTATATCTATTTTATTAAATATATATGATATTTATACATATTTCTGACACGCACGAGGAAAAATTATTTGCTCTTACTTGGTAAATCATTCGCTCAGCCAATCGGAATGAATTATTTAATCAATCCATCTCCCTTGACGAGAATATATTTCCCTTCCTCTCATAGCGAGTGAGTGGTTGATGTGGCTTGCTTATGTGGGGATGTGGTAGGACGTATGGATTTGGTGTGTCGAATGTGAATGCGATGCAGTTGGAGCTGGGGACACACATGCGAGGCACGGAAGTGACGGACGACGACAGCGATACATGCATCCACCAGCGCAAGCGCACGGCGGCGGCCCTCGCGACCGCCATCCAAGCGCATTTGCACTCGACTGCATTTGCCAAGTCTCACCTGTGACGATGATACTGTAGCTGCTCGTGAAGACGTAGGATGGTCAGAATATGATGACAGTGTTGTTGACTGCACTAGTGTTGGCTGTGGAGGTACATACATATAGGTAGGTTAAAGTGAGTTGCAGTGGATGGTGCAGGATGGGGGAGGTCACTTCTCCTTATATGGCTTCGGTTGCCATTCGTCTTGATCGCTTAAAGCAGGCGGCGTGTGAGTTCCCACGTAGCTCTCGGTCCTTGTACTCCATTCACCCTATACTACCTTCCCGGTAGCCAATACTACTGGCCCCAAGTGGGTTCACAGTAGGTGACAGACGTACGTGGCACGTACGCTGGCGCACTTTTTCATTTACGCGTCGGATCTCCCGCATTCGCGTGCCGTTGCATGCTCGCATCCAACGTATCGGTGGCCATCGCGCCTGCCCCCGCCCTGCTTTCGCGATCTTTTGAACCTTTGGGTGGTTCCTTCAGCCAATGAAAATCGTTCTTTGATTTGATTGGTTGATTTGGCAAGAGGGATGACAGGACGGAACACCGAAAGTACTTGTCTCCTTCGAATGGCCCAGTTTCACATTTCCAATCTTCGTCAACCATGGCAACAGCAGAACCTTCCTCGCAACCGTCGGAATCGACGCTTGGTCTGTCGTTGAAGAAGAGTCTGGCTGCATCCACCGGCGCCATGATCACATCCTTGTTCGTGACACCTCTCGACGTAGCCAAGGTCCGCTTGCAGTCCCAATCGAACCCCAAGCAGCACCGACCGTCGCCATCTCCGACGCTTTCCATAGCTTGCCGCCGATCCTGTGGAAATGCTACTCGCAACATGATGTCATCCCGGCCTCATACTCTATGTGTGGCGTGTGTACGCTCCCTCAGCATGCAATGTTCGATTCCTTCGGCTTCTCGCCGCCATCTCCACGGCACCACCGATGCGCTGCGCTATGTGTTCCGCACCGAAGGGCTCCGCGGTCTCTTTGCCGGACTTCCACCGACCCTCATGCTGGCGATTCCTTCCACAGTGCTCTACTACACATCCTACGACCACCTTGTACACGAAGGCGCCCGTCTGTTTCCCGAATTGGCGCCGTTGATGCCCCTTCTCGCGGGCAGTTCTGCGCGCATTGTCGCGGCGACCGTCGTCTCCCCGCTTGAGCTGGTGCGCACTCGCATGCAAAACGGCGTGGAGAAGAACATGGTGTCCATTCTTCGCAAGGCGGTGCAAGACAATGGCGTGCGCTCTCTCACGCGCGGGTTGCAGGCGACTTTGGCTCGCGACGTGCCGTTTTCGGCCATCTACTGGACCTGTTACGAGCAGTTGAAGGCGCGATTGATGGAACGACCCGAGTTCGACCAGCGACCTGTGCATCAAGCGTTCTGCGCCGGCGCTGCTGCGGGGATGCTGGCGGCCACGGTCACCACGCCCTTCGACGTGGTCAAGACGTTGCAGCAAGTGGATGTAAGCATGCAGCTGTCGACGTCCCAAGTGCTGAGACGACTCGTGGCCACCCAAGGCGTGGCAGCACTCATGACTGGTCTCACCCCACGAATCGCCAAGATCGTCCCGTCCTGTGCCATCATGATCTCGACCTACGAAGTCGGCAAAATGTACCTAGGCGTCGCGTAGTTCTTCATCGTGGTTTAATATTTAGTAAGTGTCCTCGTTGTGGTTGCAGTGCGATTGTACATCCGTCAAATTGGAAACTCTACGACTGGTCAATATTAAGCCAATCAAAGCGTAGAATGCGTAGAATTAATTTTGTATTGACCAACCCGATGGGCTGATTCATGCCAGTTGGTTTTTTACGAAATTCGACGTTTCAGGGAAATCAACGAATTGCATGTAACACTTCGAAGTAGTTATTAATAGTACTTGAAGTAACTACTGTACTTTGAGGTACCTAGTACTACGCATTACTACATACTCCGGAGTAGTAGTAATAGTATTGTGAATTCTACCAAAATATTCGTGTGGTTTGTCTAACCAATATTGAATCACGGTGGTGTTCTGATTGGTTGATTATACTTGTCCTTCTGTAAGCGCCAATCAAATCCACTCCAGATTGGGATTAGCCAATAGCGTCGATTCGTGATTCGATTGATTCAATGCTATACATACGACAGGTCTAGAATTTTGTACCGAATCAACGCTTATAACTATTAGTATTCTCGATGAATTTTCACTAACGTTACTACGTAGTAGGACTCGAAATAGTACTACAGAAGTACAGTAAATTTATTTCGACACTTCCAATAACATAACATCGGACCAAGTTATCCTACACCACCTCCTCATATCGCAGCCAAGGTCGTTCGGTTGTGGCCATATGTGATTGTCGCGATCTCGAATGTTCGATGGGGGTTGCATGCACTGCCGAATTCGGAACTGTGTGTTGAACCAAATTTGGGAATTTTTTCGTATTTTTTCACCATCGCAGTTGAGGCCAGTGAGACCCGACCAATGAAAACGGGCCATTGGACTCGGGGGTAGGGGGCGAGCCCAAGTGCTTCAACCACGCCAGAAACCGCGTAACGATTACTGCGGCCGTCTTGAAGTCGTCCCAAGCAACCATCAACCTGCGCACGTACCTCGGCCAGTTCCAGCCTTCCTGCCAGTCCATACCATGAGTCTGTTCTTCTGGAAGAAGGACGTGTCTCGCTTGACCAAGTCGCTCCATCATCTGCTGCACGAGGTCGCGCCAGCTTTGCCCGACGAAAGGGATGACTTGGACGACAACGACGCGCTGCTCGCAGACACGGCCACCCCGCCGCTGTCTCCTCGTGACGACCCTTCTTCCATGTTGAATGGTGCTGTGAGCGAAGTCGACGTGCTTGACGTAGATGCCACCGGTCGCGTCGAACGCCTCCTCATGAAGATCCGACTCGTGGTATGCGGCACGCCGGACGTGCCCATCCAAACCGACGAGTGCGTCCAAGTGGTGGACATGCTGCTTCGGTACCACGTCATGGAGCGGCTCGTGCATCCCGACCTGCTCGTCCAAATCTCGTTTGAAGCGCAGAAATCAGTCGGTGCGATCATCAAGGCCATGGTGCATCAACACCCGGCGGCGATCCGTCCGATCGTGTGCCAAGTGTCGTTCCTGGGTCGGCTGTGTCTAGGGTATGCATGTCCCGCGACCGAAGTTGTGCTCGTCTGCGGCGCCATGCTGCGCGACTGCCTGGACACGTTTGACGACGCGATCTCGTTGTTTCTGTCCAAGATGCCGGCCGAGTTCGACGTGCTCGTGACCGTCGCGTGCACCCACGCGCACTTCGACATCTCGTCCGACGCGCTCACCAACATCAGCTGCCTGCTCACGCACCACACCCCCGAGCTCGACGCCGAAAGCGACCGCGTCTTTACCCAGTACCAGCGTCTCTTGGCGTCGGCCAACTACGCGACCCAGCGCCATGCGCTTCAGATTCTGTCCAAAGTGCTGTTAGATCCAAGGAATGGCCCCGCCATGATGCGGTACATCTCGGACAAGCACCACCTGAAAGTTGTGATGCAACTTCTGCGCGAACAAAGCGATGCGTTGCGCCTCGATGCCTTCCACGTGTTCAAGATCTTTGTTGCCAACCCGTCGAAACATGACGACATTGTATCGCTGCTGCTGCGGAATCGAGACAAGTTGCTCAAGTTTGTGGTCGAGTTTGGCAACGACCACAGCAACGCGTACCCGTCCCTGGCGTCCGAGATCCGCCTGCTGGTGTTTACATTGGAGAAACTGGTGGAACCAGCAACTACTAATCCACCTTTGCCTACCAATAGCACAGCAACGACGGCAGCAACGACAGACGACGACGAAGTACCTCTGCACCCACCCACCCCATCACAAATCGTAGTCCTAGACACCTAACTTAAAAATCTATCCACACACCCATACTTCCATCTAGTAAAAAATACGTAGTGGTACTTCGAATTACTATAAATACTGGTATTAATACTATGAACACGTACTACTATTAATAGTAGTAGTATTAAGACTAATAGTACTACTACTACGTACGTAGTAGTACAGTGTATGATATGCATGGAAATATCATTTGGAAAAGTATTCGACGTATTAATCCTAAAGTGTAGTACTCCGGAGTACTAGTACTGTATGGGTATACCTTGTAACGTTACTACCAAAATATCGCAAATTCCAAGTATTTATACATATTTACCCATTTACGAAACAATATACCGGTTAATTAACCGGATGTTTCGTACATCCTTGGTATTTATTGTCCAAGTGACCAGCTTACTAATTACTCCATAGTGTAATTAAAATAGATAATGAACATTCTATTTTCTTTTATGGATTTCGACATACTTTTTCGATTATTAATCTCTTTATCGACGCGATAACGGTAGATATGCCACCATGTGCGATACAGTTTACGTAATACTGTTCCAGAGCAGGGGTAAGCCAGTCCTACGTCCAGTTACTGTCTTACTATGGAGAAATTTGCCAGTCCTTGGGCACCAGATATTACATTTTTTCAAAAGTCCACACACTATTAACGTTTCGCCCGTTTCATTTCGCTGACCCGATTAACGTTAAAAACTACTAGTACAGGTGAATGAATACATGCACAAGGTACACATTGGCATAAAGTGGTGGCAATCACATTTGCACGACGGTCCATCGCAAGTTGGACGGCGTGGGGGACTCAAACACCCACGTGGCCTCGGCTTCGCGGACAGAGGACTCGGCGATGGCGGCGCCGTCCTTGGTCCCAGACACAGTCACGTGTTCCGCAGTGTCGAACTGGACATACAACAGCATGGACGAGTTGTCGTCAGCCAGCTTGACGTTGGCGAGGTGGCACGCTCGGACGTCGAGCTGTGTGAGGTCGAATTTCGTGCATCCGTTGTCGTGGTGAATCTTGAACCCTTGGGTGAGCATGTCGAGACATTCGGGGGTCATGATCTCCTTCAAGAGGTTGATCTCGTCGTTTTCAACCGCGGGGTCCACCGCCGCTTCGAGGAACGCAGGGGAGTACACTGTGCGCAGCACCAACTCGAGGGCATGCTTGGCGCCATCGAGAAACTCTGGCAGGTCGAAGTCGGCTTTGTTCGGGAATGCTTGATGGATCATAGCAAACAACGCCATCTTCTTCACGACAAACATGTCGGGGGCAAACACCTCGGCTTCGTCCCACGCAAAGTATCGGTCCTTATCGTCCACCGCACGCTGGAACGTCGTTGGATTGTTTTCTAGGCTGCTGTTGCTCGAGAATGCTCGCATGTTCCCACGACGGCTGCATGGCCCATTCATTACGAAGTTGTTGCTTGAAGGCATTCGGGACGTTATCTTGAAACGTACGCCTGCAGACGACCGACGCGCCGCCACATGCGCAACTTGACGCCACATGATGGAGAAAGGTTGTGGTTGACGCCAAACCGCAAAACCTTTGGGATTGCTCATAAAGTAGTGAACCTCTAGCAACTAATACGTATCCGTATTATCCGGATATTCCACACGTCATGGCGCGCATTTTCGAAAGTCCAAGTTGATCTCCATCGAAGCGCCGTGATGAAGGAGCGCGCCGAAAAGGTCCGAAGGATGGCAGGTGGAACAAGGTGGGGGACAGACAGCCGCGCATGCATGATATCGACAAGCATCAAAGAATGATGCCAAAAGTCGTACCATATCACAGTTGCTATTATGGACATAGTGATCCACAACGGGCGAACTATGGTCGATCGACGCAGTACTGGACCTGGAGTATCATGAAAGGTAATCAAATTGCAAGTCGTATGTACGTTATTCTTTGGCGACAGTCCCCAGCGGCCCCGCGCCATCAAGGCTAACGTCCGCAAAGCTGGCATGGACTTGTGGCTGTGGGTGCTTATGCACAGCCCGGACGCGATCCTCCACGCGGCGGTCGGCCCTGTGCTGTTTTCCCCCCTCCTGAAACTTGTCACAGAAAACGACATCAGTATGAGCTCGGACGAAGTCCCGGTGAATGTGCGACACGAGCGCAATGTGGGTGTATACACTGCATCATTTACCCCATAGCTTACGGATTCTGAACGATGCATCATAGTCCTTCAAACTCCGTCGTCCTGCTTCGTAGGTCATCGTTGTCGAAGCTCTCCCCGCGCTAACTTCCATCGACTCCATAGCAACTATTGGACGGATAAGCGGTACGTCACGATCCAAATATGGCCAAGTGATATCACGTGGCTATAGTTCACAGTCTATTCAACTTGCCAACCTCTCACCATTTCGCATCTTTTCAAACCCCGTGCGGGTGTCGCAACCTGACTTCATAGCTTCAGTAACTCACAGTAGTGTCCACATGACCATGGTTCGTTAGACATTTCAGGAGATCGACCTATTGAATCTGTTTCAATGACACCGAAAACCTGTGGAGTTATTCGTCATAAACAACCGCGTCAGTCCATTGTAGACGATGATTCCTCCACTTCCCATGGACGACACCCCATCCGCAGCCACCATGGCTTTGTGTACGTCGCGGCAACTATAGGGTTGTCGATGTAGTACCTCACGTTATTGGAACCATACATGGCCAACGACCTGTTTTGGCCACGATGGTTCAACTCGACGGGCATTCAATGATGCATTCCGTCTCGAAACCAACTACGTCGACTCCACCACCCCACGGCCTTCTCCATCTTGGACATGGCCATCCAAAAAGACTACAGCGGGTCTGACACTGTCGTGGCGCTCAAGGCAACGTATCCTCGGCGCATGATCTCCGAGCAATTGACGTCCATTGAGAGTGCCATTCAAGGCATCCACACCGCGACGTCGGTCGCTAGCGTGTTGAAGCTCAACACAGCGTACTGCTGGCTAGACTTTGATCGGTGGTTGTGGACACCCAAGGTCGACTGGAACGATGTCGGGATCGCGTTGCCATATTGTTGTGATCGTTATATCGTTACCATATTGAAAATCTCGACCTAGTCGTCAGGTATTTATTTGCTGGCTTGGTACACTCATATGCCAATTTAACTTAGCACTGCATATGTAGCTGTTGGTACTTAGCGTATACGAGTTGCATATTGTATTCACAGCCAGTAATAACAGAAATTTTAGTGTTCAAAATGGCAAAATCAATGGAGGAGCCGGGGATTGAACCCGGGGCCTTCCGCATGCAAAGCGGACGCGCTACCACTGCGCTACACCCCCGTTATACTTAATATCCATATATTTCATACCAATGCAATATTTGAGAATACTGAAATTCACAAAGTCAATTGGAAGATCCAACAGACGCGCAAGAAGTGGCTGGCCAGCGAGCTCAATGACCAAACATAGTGATACTACGTCATCGCCACTGCAAAGTGTGACAGTCGTGTACGATACGATACTCTACAAAGAAACCAGTCCGTCACTCGTTGCGTAGCGTGCACTTGGATGGCGATGCCGCCCACGGCATCCATGTGGGCGGCGTCACGGCCAACACATCCATGTGCTGGGTACTGACTGAATCGATTCGAGCGTACATTGAAACGTACACGGCAGCCGACCTTCCAGGGATATCTGGACTGTACGACATGACTTCTGGTCAAGGTACCTTACTCAAGATGGTGGTAAGTTGGAGGTTGATGCAACGTGTAGTGGTGGATCTGGCCTCGACGGTGATTGACGTTCCCAACAACCAAGTCGACGAGGATACCTGTCCTCTTCTTCGGTACGGCGCCGTCCGCCTGCCAGACACCGGTCGGCGTCATCGCCCCCCCATCCCCGACGAATCCTCCACTTCTTCCCCTCAAGAACAGAAATCGGACCCATTCCGACTCTTCGTCAAGACGATTCAGTCATCTCTAGGTAAAGCCACGCAGCGCTCCAACAGCTTTCCACGCTTCAAGCTGTTGCCACCACCACCGTCTCCGTCCCAACCACCTCCTCTCGACAACGTTCCATCACGACGAATTCAAAGCCTGCCGACGACTCTCTCGCTGGTGGACTGTGTCACTCAACTCAGGTCCGCGTCCGTGGCGGAGCTGTCCCTTGCATGTAATGTGTCGACAGCAGTAGCTAGGCAGGTCGTGGCTATCGCAAACACTTGCGTCCCACAGGTCCCCACCACGCCCCCTTCGACTCGTACCACCACCTCGTCGTCCTCCACTACTACTGCTACTTCTTCCCCATCTAATCAAATCGACCCAACCACGAAAGGTGCTGGCCCATCATTCTCGTCATTCCCGCCACCTTTCAACAACCAAGAGGACGTCCACGACATCGAAGAAGACTCCCCAGCGTTCCGTCGCGTCCTGCAGGACATGGACAGCATTTCCGCCACAGCCCACGGCCGTGTGCAGACGATCGTGAGTGCCGCCGCCGCCGTCATCCAAGCCAGTCAAGGGTTTATGGAAGCATTCAGGCATTTCCAACAAGCGATGGACGATACCCTTCATTGGTGGACCAACCAGAACGAGAGCGATGACGACTGTGCATCATCCACTCCTCGCCAGAGTTTCTTACTTCGTCCATTTTGGCAGCACATGGAGGAGGATGTACTCTCCTCTCACGTGGCCATCACCGACGCTTTAAACGTGCATGTGATCACGTCGTGGAACCAGTTTGCCCACCTCTACCACGGCGACGAATATGCTCGCCGTCGACACAAGCTGAATATGCGATTCACGCAGCACCACAGCCTTGCGCTGGCGTATGCCATGACTCCATTGGCCAACGACGTGATGCTCAACATGGAAGCGGAAGGCCAGGATCGAGTGCTCGGCGCAGCGCACGACGCGTTTGAGTCTGCACGACATGACGTCGTGACTCATTTTCGCTCCATGCTTTGTCAAGGGCTTCATCTTTGGAATGCAACTGGCTGTGCGTTATCGAAGCTCCATTCGGCGGAGAAACAACCAAATTTAGTTGAGGGGGACGGGGGGGGGGCACATGTTGTTGTTGTTGGCAGCAGCACTGCTTTGAAACCCGAGCTCGTGACCGATGAGGGTGACGAGAAAAGCAAAGGCGGGTCCAGTAGCCAGGCCGTAGAAGCCACGACGTTGGCAATGAACAAGAAAGTGATGATGCAAGGGTACTTGTTTCAAGTAGTGTCTGCCACGATGGCCCGGTCCAGGCGATGGGTGTACATTCAAGAAGGAAGGTTACTTGCTTCCACTGTACGGACACTTGTATCGTTGTTGACTAGATGTATTGTACATGTGATGTGGTATAGGACGATCTACTGATGCTCGAGCCCGAGGTGGTAGTGGCTCATCTGTCGTCCGCCACTGCAATCCGATGCCAGTCAGCAGCCTTCCATCAACCAAGCCCAGTGTATCGTCAACTCCGCTATGGATTCCAAATCACGAACAACAACAACGAACGGTCGACAGCTTCAACATGGCAGGCCGACACCCGCCAGTCACTTGACCAGTGGATCCAAGCGCTCACATTTAATCACGATCAGTCCAACCTGGGCTCCACTGTCACCACTACTATCCGTACCCTTCCATTGCCCACCTCCTCCATCACCCCATCATGTCCTCCGTCCAGCCCAACCCCCCAGCGTAAAGCAGTGTCCACCCGCCATCGTTATCGTCGTTGTGACGAGTCCATCCTTGTCTTTCACCCGCCTGAAACCTCTGCGGATTCCTTTCATGAAATCGTGCGGCACACGTTTCCCTGCTCTGTGCAATCGTACTTGCAAAGGTTTGTACAGGACCCGTCGTTTTCCAAGTCTTTCTTGGCCCATGAACGCGCGACAGCGATTTCATTCACTTCGTGGCAACTGGTCGAACCCCATCAACATCAACTACAACAACAAGAACAAGATGAAACCTCTTGTTACACACGCAGGCGCAGTTGTGTGCTGCCTGTCGAGTCTGCCCTGACCAATGGAACCTCTCGCATCGACGGCACCGATATGTATCAAGTCGTAAGCGATCCCCCGTCGTGTCTTCGGCTGCTTTCGTCAGATGTGAGCGTGGACGTGCCCTACGGGTCGTACTTTACCGTCCAGTCTTGCACCACCGTAACAAGTGCCAACGACAACGACGACAACGACGACCAGTGTCAAGTGGTTGTGACGGTCGGCGTGTACTTTATCAAACACACCATGTTTCGCCGGATGATTGAGCAAGCGTGCGTGACCGAAGCGACGCGATCGTTTGAGAGGTTGGCCCAGCACATGCTCGCGGCGCTCCAAGCTGGCAACTAAAGTATGGGGAGTTAGTTGTCTCGAATAACGTTAAACCTGGCATATATATAGTACTGCTTGTCGTGAAAGGGCAAGTTAATATGTATCCACTGCACGTGTCCGATACAGACGGACGGACTGTCATGCTGCATGCGGGTTTCGCTGACGTGGACATTTGGAAATGTTGCAGGCGTCCTTGACGTGTCCAATGATTGGCTAGAATGTGAAACGGTCATGAAATGCAACCAATCCATGTGTAGCAGACTCAAGCATGTTGGGGAATGGACTTGAAGTTTTGAGCACGTCACCGATACGTACTACAATATAGAAGTGATTTGGATTACTCTTGCTTTTTACGAGTATGGATGGTTGGTTACCCAATACCGATAAGCACTCCATTGCAAGCAGCCCACTAATGGTTGGTTACCAAGCAAGCCATTATTGCAACTTGCATCTTTTGGCCAATCCGAGCCGACATATTGAAGCTCTACATTGAATTGACTGAAGTCCAATCCATACACGGACGTGGTCAACTTCTGCCACTGCCTGTTCTGCGCCAGACATCGTCGTCGAGGAGGGCTCTGCCATCTTCCTTGAGGACGACCAAGACAACGACAATCACATCCCGCCTTACACCCGTCCCAACAACCACGACAGCGACACGGACAACACCGACGATGCATCTCCTTCCCCACATCCCCACCGCCTGCCTCCCGCCAAGCGCGTTAAACAGCACATCAAGGATGACGTTGTTTCGTCATCTCCGCTAAAGCATGTTCCCAGCATATATACACATACACGGGTGCTGCTTTCGACGGAACTACTACTCCCTGTCGTGCCGAAATTTCAACCAGGCGCGTATGTGGACATCCTGTCATTATTAAACGTAAGCTTTTGCCAGTGCAAGACCCGCCGCGGGCTCGATCGATGGGTCGAATACCTCGAACAACTCGACACCATCTTCTCTGCGTGGTATGGAATCCATGGACGCTCTCGCATCCGCCATTTCCACCGGTGCGTACCGAAAGGCCCCACGCGCGCCGCGTCGGTCGGTAATGTGACTGCCATGCGTCGCATGTACCGCTTCAAGCTCGTGCTCGATGACTGCATCATTGCCGCCGTGATTAACGGCCAGTTCAACGTACTTCAGTACCTGCATGCCGACGGGTCTGTGAACTCGTTTCCCAAGCATTGCATGCAACACGCGGTGGCATGTGGACATTTGGGCATTGTGCGATTCCTAGACACGTATCGCCTGGAAGCACGCGGTGGTCCGGCCATGAACGCGGTGTCAGAGTTTGGACGACTGCGCGTTGTCAAGTGGTTGCACTACCACCAACGAGAAGGATGCAATACTTGGGCCATGGACGCCGCCGCCTAGTACGGACACCTTGCCGTGGTGCAGTGACCATGGACGAAGGATGTACAGTTCTCGCGCTCGATCGAGGCGGCAGACCACGATCTCGTTGAGGTGTTTGCCTTCCAGCATGAAGTCGTCCGCGCTCAAATGCATATTGCCGTGGGGGGCGGACCCTTGGAAGAAGTCCTTCAGGACGCGCCGACAGCGGCACTCGCCATGCTTTAAACAAGGAAGAGAGATGTGTTTTGCTTAGAACTTGCATGAGCATACTATAATGTGGAAATGAAAAATACGTGTGATTATTCTATAATATTTTAATCAGACTTGCCATTTGTAAGCAAATGCAGTATTATTTCATCGCAGCAACAACCAGTGCCGCATACTTTTTACAAATACTTACGGTACGGTATACATGCGGTGGTACTGCGTGTCGCCAGCCCTTCCCAAGGGCGCCCAGCTGCGCGTCCGAACCGCTCCCAGTGCCTCCGCACCGGAGAGCTCAAGCCACAGACTCAACATCTACGACGTCGTGAGCACTTCGTCGCCTCCATTGAAAGCCCCGTGGCTGCAGGTCGCATGGCAGCAGTCGGAAGGGTACGTCATGGCGTCCACGCCCGACGAGATGCCGCTTCTCGTGCCATGGGAGTCCACCTCGTTTGTCAAGGTCGTGTTTGTGTATCCAGAGACCGAGCTACGCCATAAGACGACTCACGAGTCAGTGGTGCTCGAGTTGGATGCATATCTTGGCGTCGTTTCGGTCCTCGCCGCCGACAGCGACGACGTGTCGTACGTGGTGATGTACCAAGGCGAGCCGTACATTGTCGAGCAAGTGGACGCTGTGATCATGGCCGAGCGCATTCACGAGTCCATGCGCTTCGCCATGAACCCCGACTTGCCCGAGAACGCCACCATCGTCGTGCGGCAGTGGCCCCATCGTGACAGCGACCAAGTGGACGTGTTGACCCATGGACAAGAGATCAACGGCGAAATTCGATCCGAGGACTGGATCAAGATCCACGAACATGCATGGGTCATGTGGAAGCTCGCGAGTCGTCACAACCTCGAGCTGCTGCAACCTGTCCAGACCACGTCCCGTATTGATCCTGTAGAAGAAAAAGTTCAAGACGACACCACCCACACTGTTGGGCTTCCCACGGAATCCGAAGACAATCCACGATCGCAACATGTAAACGGAGAGTCGGACCTGCCCACCACCATAACCTGCGACAAGGTGGCGATATGCGACGACGTTCACCCTCAAGAACGGCAAATGTATGCAGATCGCTGCCCGAGTAGTAGCAGTCACCCCGCACAGCCGACTGACTGTCTTGACAGTGTGATAGCCATCACATGTCCTGATCCGAGTCATCCAGTCATCCACCACCAGTCCACATCATGGGACGACCGACCCATCCACGGCACCAACGAGCCTCCATGTGACACGGTTGCGTCATCAACCACGTCACATGTCCAGGTCAACAACACTCGGATGGACCACGCTAGAACAGCATTGGACGACCGCCCCATTCGTCAATCTAGCCGCGAGTCCGACGTCGTACAGTCATCGGACTCGACCGACAATCTCCACACTGACAAAGTCCAACACAACCCTCCAAATGGCCACGACACTCCAAATGGCCACGACACTCCAAATGGCCACGACATTCCCAATGGCCACGACACTCCAAATGGCCACGACAACGATGACCGACCGATGCGACCACTAGCTGTTCGCTATGATGATGCCAAAGAAGAAGAGAAAGAGGAGGGCAAGACCAACGTACTAGCCAGTACTAGTAGTACTAGTAGTACTAGCTCCATCGAGACTACATCCCCCGTCCAGTACGACAAGGCATTCCCGGCTGTGCCTTCCCCACACGATGACATGATGCTGGACCAACCAAGTCCTCCGTTGTCGAAACTCCATCAATTCGCAAACGATGTCGCAGATGTACACTTGATGTGGTCGCTCCAAGTGGAGTTCTTGACCGCGCTGTGCCCGCTGGTCCTGTCGCCGTCCCCCCCCCTTACCCTGGACGACCATACAGTTGTAAACAAGATGCTCACGGCCAAATTAAACGCGCCTTCTTCGATGCATAGCAAAGTGCTGCCAGTGTTCCTTGAGCTAGCCCTGCCGTACCTGGCTTCTTGTGCAGAAGTAAAGCTCACTCGACCGCTCTTGCCAGGCTTGCTGCGTCTGTTTCAGGTTGGATACGTCTCTATCCATATATATATATTTGCGGAATCCATCTATCTCATGTATATATATATGGTTTGAAACGGCTATTGATCTTCAACTACGGTATTTGTGTATTTGTAATTATTCCATGTGACCATTTGATTTAAAGATTGCATATGTGCGTACTTTATTTAAAAGATTGCATTGAATTGTATCGGTATAGTTATTACGTTTTTTTATATTTCATGGGGCAGCTCCCTCGACAAATAATACGGTATATATATATATACCGTATATTTAGTTTAACTAATGAACAAGGGCAATTGTATAAGCAATGATCTAATATATCTTTTATATATATATATATGCCGACTTTTTATTGACGACAATATGTATACATGCCGACTTATTTATTGACGACAATATATATACGACTTATTTATTGACGACAATAGATATATATATGACTTATTTATTGACGACAATATATATATATATATATATACCGTATATTTATTGACGGCAATATATATATATACCGTATATTTATTGAAGACAATATATATATATATATATTATCATCATATCGAAATAATGGACGTGGCATAGCGACAACGCTACGCTAGATCGATCGATATTATATTGTACATTTCATTTTCGAGGTGTATTTTATTATTCATTTTCTGGTTTGGCGCGGACAAATAAGTAAAAAAAGACTTTTCTGCTAGCGTCGTCGATACATGTATGCCACTACATTTCATTACATATATATATATATAAGTCTTTTTCCCATGCTCATTTTCGGATTTGATAACCCTGTTTGTGTAGGTCAAAGCTGCCGTAGCCAAGTTGGAGCCATTTTTAACTGCATTTGTGCGTCAGTTTGCCGTGGCAGACCGATGGGATGCCCTTGAACACGTCCTGGTCGACGACAGTTCCGATGGCTTTCAACCGTTGACTGAATTGGGCGCGGCGCGGCTCTTGATATGGTGGAGCTTAGTGTTGTGTGGCGATATGACTCTAGCTCAACCATCAAGCTGGACATGTCCGAGCCTTCGCCTATGCGATGCACTTGTGGTGTATGCTAGCCACCGCGCCACCAAAGTGCGCGCCGCCGCCGTCGACATCCTCGCCTATGTCGTCCGTCGGGAGTCGGCAGACATGGCCCAGGTGGACACGGTGTCACATATGGACACGTGGCTGGCGTTGGTGGCCGATGCGGGCGTATGTGACGCTGTTCAAAGCCGACTCAAAAACACTCTGACTCCAGCTGAAGCCGACACGAGTCGGGTTTGCAAAGACTCTTGTGGTGTTGCAGACAAAGTTGCAGACAAATATGATGTGGCAAGTACTACGAGTAGTACTACTAGTAGTACTAGTAGTAGTACCCCGCAACGCAAGGCGAAGTCCCGATTTGCCCAGTGGAAGCAAGCGGCCGACTCGATCGTGGTGGGCCACCGGACAACCACCACATCGCTGTCGAATAGTAGTAGTATTAGTAGTACTACTACTGGCGGTGGGGATGGCCATGTGATGACGTTTGCCCAGTGGCAACAAGACCCCTCCACCGACGATGCCGCTAGTACTACTACTACTACTAGTACTACGAGCAACCACACCCCGCGGAAACTCGCCCAGGCCAAGTTTGCCCAGTGGAAGCACGCCCAACAAGGTCAACCTCCACATGGCGATGACGTTATCAATGTGTCTGCGCCGACAGAGTTGTCGAGCACACAACGCGGGGCGGATGACGTAATCAACAAGAATGGCGTAATCAACGAGGATGGCGTAATTCAGGACGAGAACATGACCAACGGGGATGACGTGATCAACGAGGATGACGTAATCAACGGGGATGACGTGATCGAGGCTGCGGACCCCGACGCGCCTCGTGGCGTGGTGGAGGGGGCCCCAATCCTGGCCATGGCACCTGGGGATGGGAATGTGCCTGGGGAAAGTGGGGATGTTGGCGAGGAATTTGCCCACGACGACGACAGTGCCGAGGAGGATTTCCTGGAACAATCCCACGACATATGTCTGTCCTCTGTGATTGTTGCGTCGCCCGGCCGCGTCGAGACAAAACCCAACGAAGCCCCGTGGACACTGGACGGGGAAAAATCCCACGACTGGGAAAGGACGATCGTGGTCGAGCCCACGGACGACGACGACGACGACGAACAAGAGAAGGACATCATGGACCATGTACTGAACGACGAGAACGACCAATCGGATGGGAGATTTACTCACGATGACGTGATCCACGACGAGGAGCAAGTTGATGACGTGATCGATTGCGACGACGGACGAGATGACGTGATCAACGACGACGGACCATACGATGACGTGATCAACGACGAGGAACAAGATGACGTAATCCATGACGGACAAGATGACGTGATCAACGACGCACAAGATGACGTGATCAACGACGACGACCAAGGCGAGGACATTGGGAACGACAGCATTGAGCAAGTAGATGCCACGTCGGATGCGTTTCTGCCCCATAATCTGAACGTTGACGCCAAACCCGATCACGACCACGACCGTCAGGACGTGGTGGTCGCGCGCGCCATTTGCTTTAGCGACGTGAGCGACGACGACGACGACGTCGCCGTGTTGGGCGGTCTGGACGACGACGACGACCACGACGTTGTGGACGAATATGCGATACTGTTTGTCCCACCGTGCGACACCGCGTCAGTCCGTTTGCCGGTAGACAAAGATCAAGGGCAAAGTACCGAGTTTGACGCCGAGTTTCCCCCCGAGTCGACGGATCTGTGGGACCCCGACGTCCTCTTCCTGCCGCCGCGCATGGTGGACGCCGAGCTGGCGCGGCTACGGCGCCTCTGGGGCGACGATACCCGGGGGTTCTGGGGCGCCGTGCTCGATGCAAGTCCTGTCGTGATATTGGCCGCGCATTTTCCATTCAACGGCGGCGACGACGACCAAGACTCGGACGACTTGATGCATTCTTGGCAGAAAGAAGACGAAGACGGCGAAGTGCTGACAGAGGCCGACCGCGAAGCCATCGCCGCGTACGTCCGGCAGTGGCATGCGGCGCACCTGGCGCTTCGGCTCGAGCTGACCCCGCCGACGCCCGTACCAGAGGACGGGAGGTCGGGGACGGACAAGCTCAAGGCGAGTCGCTTGCTGCAACGGCCGTCGTCGTTTGGGATGTCTGCTTCGTTAACCTCGTCGCAGGCGGCTGTTCCCACGACGCCGTCGTTTCTACGGAAACCGACAAGTGGAAGCAGCGGCATCAAGTTGCCCCGGACGGCGTCCACGCCTCCTCCGACCACCGCCTTGCCGACTTCGTCGGGGGGCCCGGGCACGCCGCCGACCCCCGCGCGGCAGATGCGACTTCCAACGACGAGGACCACTGGCTTGCGCACGCCGTCGTCTCGGTCGATTAAGCAGTGAGACGCGTAAAGATTAAGTTAACGTGAGTTACATCGTACTATTTTGTCATATGTATTTTACTGTACGATTGTATGCCGTGATTGGAGAAATGTGCCTTTGCATCCGGAACATCCGGATAATTATAAACTAACGTTAGCATAAAGTTAATTCAGAAGTAACAAGATCAGAAAAAACTGCATTTTCGTTTGTGATTGGCTAGGATAAAGCTGTAGATTCATTGGATTGGCTAGAGCAAATCAACCCTGGAAGGACCAATCAAGTGAAATGGATGAAATACTATCCAATCAAAGGCGAGCATTGTGAGATATACGCCTCTGATTGGGCAAAACTAGATTAGATCTTTTTCAGAGGCGCGGTTAGATGAGTTTCTTGGACTTGAAGAAGCTCTTGAGATAGATAATTTGCCACACGCCAACGCTGAGGAGCACGGCAATGGTCATCGCATTCAGGTACGTCACGCGGGAGTTGGTGGACTCGTTCGTGTCGCGCATGGACGCTTCGCGGTCGCGGACGTACAGCATCTCGCGGTGAATCTCCGCCACAGTGTCTTCCAGCTTGCGCAGCTCCTTCTCCACAGGCATGAGATGCTCGCGCTTGGCCACGTCCGAGTAGTCGATCGCTTCAACACCGTGCTTGAACTCAAACGCGATTTGGACCGACACCGCGTTCGAGTTGGCAAAGCACACCGCGTATGTCCCGTAGCTCTTGGCCGTGAACGTGAACTCGTGGGACTCGTCTTTGGCGGTATCGATGTCTGCGTCCGACGACAGCTGCTTCTTCTGCGGGTCTTCGAGCCAGAATTGGACCCCCGTCTTGCCGCGCACACTGCCCAGGACCTGGTACTGCGTAATCACCAACGACCCTTCGTCCACGTCCGTGGTTAAGCACTTGGTCGCAGATGCGCGCACTTGAAAGATCACGGCTTGGGTTGTGCCTAGCATGCACGCCAGGAAGGCAAGGACACATGCAACCGCCGCCAATTTGGCCATGATTGTAATCCGAAACACGTCGCACACTGGGACGACCTCAGGTTTTGCATCGTTTTGTTTTTAATCGGAATACATACTAAATTCAAGTTCATTTAAAACTTATCGATTTAACTACCTTGAAATCGTACTTAACGAACAAAAACAAATATTTCGATTCTGAAATAATATACTACTAGTATTAATAGTACAAGTACTCAACTGAAAAATATATCAAATCTGCATTAACAGTTACTAGTAACCGTAGATCAAATCGAGTGACGTAAATTTATTGTATTATCGACCATAATGTATACTAAAAGTTGTATTTTTATTCGAAGAATCGCAATTCCAGCGCCACGTTCACAATCGAACGCACAAAACTCCGATCAGAATGATGATGCAGCCGACGACGGTATTCCTTGTCTTCTGCATGCTGGTGAACTCCGTGCATGGGGTCCAATTCGACATCCCCACGCGTGTGGAGAAGTGCCTGAGCGACGAAGTTGCTAAGGACTCCTTTGTCCTCATCCAGTACGACGTCCTCGGCAACGCGCAGGGTCGCACGGGAGTGTCGGTGATGATCCAAGATCCGCTGGGCAAGTACATCAAGGAAGACTCGGATGTAGACGTGTCTAGCGGCGACTTGCACAAGTTCTCCTTCAATGCCGGCACCGCGGGAAGCTTCTCGACGTGCTTTTTCAACTCGAACGAGTACACCGTGCGCGTGTCGCTCGACTTCAAGCATGGTGTCGAAGCCAAGGACTACTCGGAGATCGCCAAGCGCGAGCACCTTTTGCCGGTGGAAAAGGAACTCCGCAAGATGGAAGACACGGTGGACGAGATTCACCGAGAGATGCTGTACATGCGGGAGCGGGAAGCGTCGATGCGCGACACGAACGAGTCCACGAACGCCCGCGTGCTCTGGTTCAGCTCGTTCTCGATCTTCGTGTTGCTGGCAATGGGGTTGTGGCAAGTCATCTACCTCAAAAAGTTCTTCAAGTCCAAGAAACTCATCTAAACGACGTCGTAATATATATGGCGGACGGATTTTATTATATTGGACCAAATATATAAATATATATAGGATATGTTGTATATATTTTTAAATATTTTGGGATTGCCTTTAGTTGGTACACTATTAGTAGGTAAGACGCACTAGGTGTCTCACATTGAACGTGGAAAAACATTGGTTGATAATTCAAACTATTTTTGCAATCTCGACATGCATTAATATTTCCTACTTACGTTAATTATATCGGTGGTACATCCCTGGCAGAGATGAACTATCTACTGTTACTTGGTGGTTCACGAAACAAATACAAAACGTAAACAGTATCTAGTATATACTACTAGTACTACTAACTAAAGTGGTAGTGTGGTTGCACAAGTAAAGTTGAGGTACATGTCATGAAAAAGCAACATGAGTAGAACCTCGCATGCACTACAGCAAGACCAACACAAAGACTGTATGTTGACAAGGTACTTGTTGGGGGCTGGACCTAATCGAAGCCTCAAATAAGAGGGGTGAATCGAGCCGAGCCACGAGTCAATTCGACGAAGTTGTCGTGTTGCCAACATGAAGTCAACCATCATCCAAGACAGTGGCTTGGACGATGCAAGTGGCAACATACTACCGGTAGTACACAAGCGAGAATTTGGTCGGTTACATTGTGAATAACTGGACAAGATTTGATGTTAATTTCTACTTCGAAATGTTGGTGCTAGCATGTATGTACTGTACACTACTTCGATGTATATGCTTATGAGTGAGGGGGAGGCAGTTTTTCACTAGTGGTGTTTTGGGGTTTTGCTCGTGGATTTTCAGGTAGAGTTAGACGTGGGGCTTCGCTCGTGGTTAAATGGTGTGGTGGAGTTTTATTTAGTGGGCATTACTGGGTTGTTGCTTCATAGTCGAGAAGCCCAGTACTAGTACAGTAAGTGTAATATCACTCCATCATAGCTAACGTAAAACAAGCAAACAAGCCGTGGGCCCTATATCTTTGCGAAGGTATTGTAACCGTGTTTGAGCTGTAGTGCTTGCTACTCATACCAGTTATAGTTCGAATGTTTACGCGTCGATACGTATAAGGATGCCCAAGCAATTCTCGTTAACAGTAAGTTCCACAGTTTAACCACGAGCAAAACAACAACACATGACATTTTCGGTGACCACCAGTAAAAAGTCAAATGGCCACACGTTTTTATCCTATTCCCATGAGTGAGGCACGGCGAGTTCGACGAGTACGGTATGTCGAATGGAGGTGAGAGGAATGCGAGTTGCACTAAGCTTATGGTATAGAGATGGAGGAGAGGCAGCCTTCCACAATGCCCCCAAGCTAACACCATCGTGGCTCCTGGTCCTGTCCTACTAACGTTAACGCCATACTGTAGTTACCATTAACGCGTGTTGGATAGTTGTTAGTATAAGGAACCATTTTTGCCATAACGTTAGTCGTAGATGGGTACACCTTTCCCATGCATAAGCCACCAACCAGTACAGTAGTTCAGGCAATGTTGTATTCGTACGCTTGACGTTAGCCAGTCCTTGGACACTAAGAATGACGCACAACTCCACCTTGAGACAATATCGCCATGCATTTGTACGCCCAAAGAACTTAAATTTGTGCGTTTCAAAATCCTTCAACTCACGCTGAGTATACTTTAATCCAGTGTTTCGTGAATGTTTCGTAAATCAGTGGTATTTTTCTATACTTGAAGTACCATACAAACTCCAGCATAAAGGAAAATCGATACCTCCGCTTTACGAAACAAAATGTTTCGTGACTGCATTGAAATTGTTTCGTATTTGTTTCGTAAACCGTGTATATCTAACGTTACCATTACAACCAAGTTACTGTCTTGATACTAACTGTAAAGTTAGTACTACTGGTAGTATTACTACTACTACTAATAAGGTAGCTATTTTTGGGCTAGGCTAAACTTACAGTTAACCATCGATTTGTCGTAGAGTTGTTATGGGTACAGTCAGCCAATCAAACGAATCTGCAATTTTTGGCTAGCCAATCAACAAAGCATATTGGTTTGAGCTACCATTTATTTGGAAATACCAAGGACTTACGAAACATCCGGTTAATTAACCGGTACATAAGGGGGGCTCCTCGGCCTGGTTCGCTTCGCTCCCGGCCTCCGGTGCTCCCAAGGATTAGATAGATCATTGCTGTGATACTGAGTCGCTGCGCGGGCGAACGGGCCTGGTTCCCGGCCCTGGCCTAAGCTAGCTCCTAATCGTTCCGGATAAGTTGTTTCGTGTTTGTTTCGTAACCATCATTCTCTTTCAAAATAAAGTATGGACTTCACTATCGGAGTGTTGATCTTGTTTCGTAAATGGGTAAATATGTATAAATAGTTGTCCACATCGTTGACAACCCTGTTTCGAATTGAACTGTAGCGACCTAGTGGCCTGCACAGCCGCCTCGTAAGAATGATGGTTACGAATGTACTGTTTGACGGCTACCCTTTGACATTGGTCATCCCAATTTGAAAGGATGCATCCCCGTGGCCTGCACACGAAGCCACTCTGTGTGCACGTGCTGCATCTACACGTATACTACAACCCAAGGCAACGCATTCCCTGATCTCTTGCTCATTGTTCATTTCATTGTCTGCCAACTGCTACTACCGACATCTACCAAATATGAAAACCGCGCTGATCATTTCTACTGTTGCCGCCTCGGCAATCGGTACCGAGCCACCCAAGGCATCCAACTGCGTCTGTCGCTTCTTTGAATCGGAATCGACCGCCAAAGCCGATCTCTTGGTCAAGTTTACATCCAACAAGGCATCCCTTGACGCCATCACGACTGCTAAATCGTCCAATTACCGCCAGGGAGTGTACGATGTGTTGATCGAACAAGCCAAGGCGAACGAAGCGCGCTTAGCCCCCCTCCTTCCATCCGGCCAACATATCTCCAGCGTGTACATTGCAGGCGGCGTCGCCTTGTGCAGTGTATCCAAAGAAACGTTTGACAGGTTAACCGCTTCCGATTTCATTGAGTACGTGGACTTGAACAACACCAACGACATTGCGCTACCGGACGTGATCAAGGGGGATCGTTCCTCCAGCCGCCATCGCGATGCAGGGAACGAATGGGGCGTTGAAACCGTCGGGGCCCCCGCCATTTGGAAGTACACGAGGGGGAAAGGGGTGGTCGTGGGTTCCATCGACTCGGGGGCTTTGTATACCCACGAAGCCATCAAAGACAACTGGCGGGCCGACTACGGCTGGTTCGACCCAACCAATGGCACCGCCACGCCTTATGACAGTCAAGACCACGGCTCGCACACTATCGGCACTATGGTCGGGCGTGGTGGCATCGGGGTGGCTCCCGACGCCCAGTGGATTTCGTGTACATTTGGGGATGCCCCCACGTTAGAGGTAATGCTCCAGTGTGCGCAGTTCATACTGTGTCCCACGAAACCGGAGGGATCTGCTGTCGACTGCTCCAAGGATGTGGACGTGGTCAACAACCCATGGACTAACCCTTGGTTTGAAGCCGCCATTACCGCGTGGAAGGCGGCGCGCATCATTCCGGTGTTCGGAATCGCCAATCGGGGCCTGGAGTGCTCGTTGGCTGCGTCACCGCGGGCGTATAAGCACGTGATTGGCGTCGGGCCATCGGGTCGGCCACCAACGAGCCCGACACACTCGCGTACTTTTCGTCCAAGGGGTCTGTCTCCAACGGCCCCGTGTATGTCAAGCCGGACGTTTCAGCACCTGGTTATTATGTTCGATCGGTGGGTATCGTCAGCAACTCGGCCTACGCGTCGGACGCGGGCACGTCCATGGCATCCCCCCACGTCGCCGGTGTCGTCACCCTCCTCAAAAGTGTGAACCTGTCGCTGGACTTTGACGCAGTGTACACGTACCTGACGGCCACCGCGGACCAAAACGAGCTCAACACGACGGAACCCCACGCGTGGCTCGCGTCACTCACCAATGAAACTCTCCCCGGCTCCCCCCACTGTGGCGGCCCCCCAGACGATTCGTGGCCCAATAAACGGTTTGGATATGGCCGAGTTAATGTAGCGACCATTTTGCATGATGGCAAGCTCAACGACAAGCGTCGCCCGACGTGCCACGAAGAAATATGACCGAAAACAGCACCATTGGGGATGCCCTTGCATGACCCACTAATACTGTTCCAACGATGATTCGAAGCTCGAATACTCGATAATTCACAAATTGCAGTAGTTCCTTCGTCATGCTGCCAACCACACAAGCATTTATAGTGTGATTTTGCAGGTTCTACTCCATACTAGTACATATGTAGTACTGCAAAGTGGCTACCACTTGCTTATGTCGGTCCGCGACACGCTGGGGCTCACGGCAGATACCGTCGCAGATTGGCAAGCCGTGCATACTAGTAGTACTCGTTGATTGTAGGTGCTGACAAGTTGAAGTTCCCCCCGAATACACTATTCGAATGTTGGTAAAATTGAATATTGGCAACCTAACGTCAACCTCCACACAAGTTGTGCTGTAGTGTGACACAACAGCACTTTGAACTGGAATGGATGTAACGCTTGACGGTTTCACATGTAAGCAAACCTTGGCATGCAGCAACAGGCAGCGGCGGCGGCCCCACCCCATCGGTACACGGCGGCGGCGATCGCAGCGCTGTACACGGACGTGTCCAAGCACTTGAAGGATCTCAATGCGCATTCGAATGTCGCGGTCCGCGCGGTGACGTTGCCGTCGGACGACGACATTGCGGCGCTGGTCGAGTCGCGCGCGACGTTCTTCCCAGAAAAGTACCCCGTGGCCGCCGTCGACACGAGCAACGCTGCGAATCTCCGGGTTCGAATTTTTTTCATACCTCTTCAATACGGCGATGACGACGACGATGTAGACGCGGGACGACGTGGCCCGGCCGGGCGGCGGCAAGCGGGCGAATGGCGCGCATGTGTTGGTGGCCGGCAAGCAGCGCGCGGTGCCTGCCGCGGACCTCCCCACGTCTGTTCATAACGACCTCGTCCACGTAATAGTAGCATTAAGCAGTGGATATGTGCATGTATGTATGCTATAGGATCAAGGGGTTCCTTCGAAAGCACAGCATTGAGATGGCCAACACCAGACTGGGGCTGCAACAGTCCAGCAATGCCAAAAAAGATGCGCGAAGCCAAAGCGTAGTCGCACGCAAACGACGGCAAGCCATGATCGCTACGGCCACGGAGGCCGAGACGCGGAAGAAGGCATGTGCCACATTGGCATCGACATATATATATATATATGTAGGTGGTGGGGAAGCAGGCGCTGATTTCCGAGCTGATGCGGTCGACCAAGTTCAACATGCACGACATCTTTCAAATGAGCTGCCAGTTTAAAGAACTCGCGCGGAAAAACGGCACCATCTCCTGTGACCACTTTGCCACGATCATTGGGTATCGTTATTTGGCAAACATGATATATATATATCAAGTCGTGGCAAAAATGATATATTTTTAGCCACATGATATATCCCATTCTTGGCCCAAAATAATATATATGTTGTTTTGGATGTAGGAGTCATTTGGGGAAACTGGTTGGGAGTGTGACCCGCACGCCTATCACGGACGAAGACTCGGCGATGGCGGGAGTGTCGTCGATTGGTGAGACGATTTCCGCGTCCAACGCGCTCGTGCAGCGGCTCTACGGAGTCTTTGACCAAGACTTGAATGGCAGTATCGATTTTCGAGGTGCATACGACACAATATGGTGCCATGTTTGAATTATTTGTTGTGGGGGGTAGAGTTTATCATTGGCATCAACAGCCTCGTCCAGGGCACGTTGGAGCAAAAACTAGACTCGCTCTTCAAAATGTACGACAAAGATGGAAGCGGTACGACATCCGGATGTAGACATACATTCTCGGTCGTTGATTCGGACAAAACGCACGATAACTTATACCATGAACGGTAGGCACGATTTCGATTTCCGAGCTCGTGTTGATTCTCAATGGTGGCCAAGAAAAGATGTCCCAGTTGGTATATATATATATATATATATATATATCATTGCTGCGTGTCGAGTGTATACATACAGTGCTCTCATATATATATATCACTTATAAATATACCGACTGTACGTATTTCCCAGGCCATTTACATTGACGATTACTTTGCCCATGTTGACACGAACGGCGATGACGTGGTAAGGTCGTCATCATCATACACAGATATTATATCGGGGTAGGTTTCGGGGTATATATCACTAAGAGGGCGGTAGATCTCCGAAGAAGAGTTCGTCCAAGCGGCGTCCGTGGAGCCCCTCGTGCTTGAAGCCTTGAGTAAACCGCTGTCATTCAACCGCCACACCAGCTTTGAATTGCGCCAAGTACAAAGCTCATGTTATGTGGTGTATACATCATGTTGTATTTGGGCCGTAGAGTCTGCGGTGCATCACCGAGCGCTTAAAACTCGACTGGAGCGTCATGTTGTCCATCTTAGACGACGTGAATGAAGCTACAAAGCCCGACCGAGAAGCCGCGGCCCAGGAACGCATGGGACTGGTCAAGACCAACCAATCCGAGCCCCCCGCCTACGAAGCCCCTCCCGCCCCCCTCACGAGTGCGCAGTTCCACAACATCATGTTCCAGTACCTCCACGACCCGCAAGCCGACGACGGGCACACGCTGCAAGATCTGTTTAAGTCGTACGTGCCATCGCAGGCCCCCGCCGACCCGAGTATGTACACCCCCCCCCTTAACACTCCACGTCATATATATTGAATCGCCTTGGACAGGATAGTATATACTAATAGTATTACTAGAAAATCGAGGCAAAGCCAACTGCAGAGACTTTGTCCGCGACTTGGCGGGCATGTTGAGGTAACAAAGATCGTCGTCTGTCATCACAACACCTTTGGTTTCATAGCTAGTAGTACTAGTTCTACTACAACTTTTGTGGAAGGAAAAACGTAGGGTCGTGTTGGTATCAAGCATATCAAGTATCACTAGTATTACTACTAACTGTGAATGGTGGGGTAGGATGCTCGTGGTGGACACGACCCACGACGACGCGTGTTCGCGGTTTTACTTTCGGTTCTTTGACTACGACTGCGATATGCAAATCACGCGCGAACAGCTCAGTAGTGTCGTGTGCTCGAGGTACTCGAGTCTAGTACTAGTCCTAGTATTACTAGTTGGAGGAGAGCTCAATCGTGCATATAGTTTTGGTACGATGGGCAATGAACTGCTGGAAACGATGAAGTTGCTCCAAGGCATCGACGCCAACGGCGACGGCGAGTTGACAAAGGAAGAGTATTTGGAAGCAGCCAAGAAGAACCCGCTCTTGCTGGCGTCCATTTACATTTGCATTTAATACCGTTCACTTTAGTACATTGTGCAAATCAATTAAAAAAATTTGGACTAGTTATTTCGCCAAATAACGTGAGCATTCGAATCGAATTCAAGCTTCTTTACCAACCAACTCTGTATTGGAGATTCCGTATGAATAATAATTTCAGGATAATCCCATTTATTACAGGACAGGCGAAGTGGATATTAGCCAATCAGAAATCATCTCGGTTCGGATTGTACGAACCATGGAAATTTAAAGAAAGTGGTCCATAAGAGCATCTCCACCGCGTAGAGCTAAAAGCTATCTATTTTTAAAGCTATTCGAACTTCCGGATGAATCGATTTTTATCCGGCAAAAAAATAGCTTTTTCAGCAAAGAAAAGTTATTTGGACCACAAATAGCTTGTATTCCGGCTTTTTGCCGGTTACCATTCAGAAAAAGTTATAATTATCCGGAAAAACGAAGTTTTACCAAAATAGATAGCTTTTAGCTCTTCGCGGTGGAGATGTGCTCTAAGCTATTATATATACAACGATTTGTACATCATATATAGTGCCAAGGGAGGGGGCCGAATCAAGCGTTTGGATTGGCAGATATTCACCAGAACGCGTGATTTGATTGGCTTAGGCGTTATTTTTAGCACGTCCACCGAGTCGTGGTTAACGTTGGATGTGTATCTGTACATCATCATCATTCTGGTCATTGTCGTGGGATGGGGTGGTCGCGTCGGGAGGTTCCGCGTCGGTGGTGAGAAACGAGACTCCAGCGGATCCGGACGGGGGCAGCGACGGCGTGCGCCTCAAACTGGTGCGTAGTCGAGTGCTGGTGAGGGGCATCGAGCCGCCGGTCGTGGGGGGCAGTTCCACCGACGACGCGCGCGCCACAGACGGTGTCGCAGACGGATGGTGGTGGGTCGGGGAGTCGGCAAACGTGACCGAGCCGTACGTTTTGTGCCCGCGGCGCCCCATAAACGCGTCTTTGGCCTTTTGCACCGTCATGGCCGCTGCCGTCGCGTCCTCGAGTCGCGCCATCTGCGCATCCTCCGACCGGCCAAACAATCTACAATATCAAATATGATATTACATTTAATTTCATATAGATTTCATGAAATAGCAACTAAATTTATATCGATACACAATCGATCGACCAATCACAACCACCCACTCACATGGCCAATTTACATGCAAACTTGAGTCTTGTTGTGTTTACACCAAATAAATATCGGCAGAAAAAATGAAGAATTGGGCCAATCCAATTGCAGGAAATCAATTATATTTCAACCAATCAAACACAACGAATTCGAGGATGCCTTAAAGTAGTGTGATGATGGGTGCTCACAATCAAATGCGCAGAATCACCAATATCGGCAATCGATATATTCGACCAATCAAAACCCACCACACGAATCAAGTAGCCAATCAAATGATATCCTCGACCAATGCAACATATCGAATTCGGGTGTGACTTTAATTAGTGTGATGACTTTAATTACTGTGATGGCTTTAATTCGTGTGATGACTTTGATTAGTGTGACACTGGACCATTTTGACATACAAAAGTCAACGCATCAACCGATAGATATTTCGCGAATCAGCATAAAAGTCGGCCAAATATTTTGGGTAAAATGTCAAATCGATTGGACAAATCTGCACACAATTCCAAATCTATAGATAGGGTCCTACGACCCAATCGAAACGACCAACTAACTACTAACTACTACTCGTCGACGTACTTGAACTTGGCACTGGAAGATCGGGGATGCCGTTGTTGTTTGCTATGGGTAATCGTAAACCCACATCGCAGGATGCACTTGATCGTCTGCACTGCCGTGTTGCGATCCATGTCCTTCTCATCCGACGTCAGGTATACATATGGCACCAGCCCATCATGCTCTTTGCGCGGGTCGTTCCGCTGGGGGCCATATACCCAGCCCTCCTCCATCCTCTTCTTCGCCCATACATCGTGGGTATTTTCCGCCAGCAGCTCCACCAGAGAGTTCAGCTCCGGACTGAGCGAAATGTCGTCTGTAGCGATTGGTTGAGGCGCGTAAGTGTCGCCGTCGGCCACCGCCAGCCCAAATTCCACGTCAAAATCCATCATACTAGATGACGTCGCGCTCATGAGGGTGTTGGCAATGCGCGACCCAGTGATGGTACTACTAGTACTACTACTAGTAGTACTATTGCCGGTCGAGTGGTGATGCGTGGGTTGCATGATGTACCCCAGGGCCTGGATCACCTTGAGCGCTTCGATGGACGTGTCGCGGTCATATGCTTTGGATTCGTCCGACAACTGATCGTACGCGACCTATTTGTTTCAATATATACAATATTATAAACACACACAAAAAAATAATATATTTTTTGCAGTTTCACAGATGTGACAGGGAGAAATGGCCAAAAGACCTGGTAGAACCAATCAAACTGCGACATCGTACGTCTCACGATACTTGACAACCATACCCAGAAATAAATATACAAATATAATATATAATTAGCCCAGAGTCCCCCAAGCGTTGGAACGACGACCAACCGAGGCATAATACTATACTACCATATATATATATAATATATATATATAATATATATATATATATAAATATCATCCCAGTTCTTTCGTTTTGGAACCACACAACAAACGACATCGAATATATCGATACATCATCATCCTCCATTGTCCATTCAATATCTATGATTGTCCAAATCCTTGAAACCACACAATCCCATATATATATATATATATATATATATATATATATAAATAAATCCAATCCGAAACACAGTATCCTCCTACCAGGTCTGGGTGCAGTTTGAGTTGGTTGTCACGCTGGGGTCCGTACTTCCATCCTTGAGCGACGCGGCCTTGGGCCCATACTTCATGGGCATTATGCGCGAGGAATTCGGAGAGCCTCGCGATGGAATTCGGCAGCCGAACCATGGACGTGTCTGTGGGTGTAGGCGAGTACTTGTACCCGTGGAGTTCGCGGGCATCGAGGGGCAGCAGCGCCTTGTCAAACCGCTCGACAAACGCAATCGCTTCGCGCATGACACACGTCTCCAGGTCATGATGCGGCAGTCGGATCGTGCCTAATCTAGCCTTTTTGGCCAAAAAGAGCCGAAATTGCCGCACGAGTTCGTCGAACCGGCAGCTGTGGCCTCGGCCGTGGTCATGTGCGAGCTGTACATTGAGCAGTTGGGCAATGTCGTCGTCAGAGATTTCCACATTGCGTTCCTTTTTCAGCGATGACGTAATCGGTGATGACGTAATCGGTGATGACGTAATCAACGACGACACGTGGCGCCACCACGAGCAGGCAAAGTACCGCACCCAGCTCCACTTGGACACGATCACCGTTTCGTGACCCGCAAGGATGCTCTCGCCTTGATATACCACCCGACAGCACTTGATGTGGCTACCGCCGCCGCCGATGCTTGGATGGACATGATGGAGTCCAAAGCTCGACATGCGCCGCTGCTGGATCGATGGATCTGTGACACTGTCGTCGTCGTCTGCAACGTACAGCGATTGGTCGCCCATCACATGAAGTGCGATACGGTCAAACGTGAGCGATCCATCGTCCAGTTCGAGCACATCTCCAGGCTGGAGCTGATCGATCATGATCAGGGGATTCGCCGCGTTCGACGCCAGCGGCACATACACGGCTGGAAACTTGCGGTACATGTCGGCGTGGCGAATATGCGACGACGTTTTTGAACCATAAAGCGATTTCTTGGCGAACAACGACCATGCGACAACGTGCGCCGCGTCGAAATCGACAAAGAACCGCCGGAGAGGCCGGATAAACGCCAAACATATCCGGATGACCCGAATCGCGGTGCGGAACTTGTGCGCGAGGCGGGTCCGCTCGGCTTGGAGGTATGCAAAGTCGACGAGGAGAACGCATGCCCCGCCCGTGAGCGGCACCGGCTCTTTCCGGGTGAGTCGTACCCGCCATGTGAGGTTGGTCCAGTACTCTGTGAGTTGTTGGAGGACATCATACTCGATCAAGACATCGGGTTTTGGGTGCTTCATCCTGTCGCCGCCGCCACTGGGCTGGGTACTACTAGTACTAGTACTAGTACTAGTACTACTAGTCGGGTGGGGCACGAGCAACAGGTCGAGCTTGGCCGCGTCCGCGGCGCGCTTTTCATCTTGCGCGATCGAGTAATACTCGCTCAAAATCGCAATAAACATGTTGACCACGATCAGAAACACAAAGATCATAAAGGTAAAGAAAAATAGCCCCGCCATGACTGGATTCGCCTGCGACAGCGTTGACAAGTCGAACGCACCCAAGAGCATCTGAAAGCACGACGCGAGGCTGCCACTCAAGCTCCGGTACTCGCGCACGTGCGTCCCAAACAGCAAAAACCCCATCACAGCATACCCAAAGAAGATAAACACGAAGATCACGACGAATGCGACGAGGTCCTTGGCCGCGAGCCGCAGCGTCGTCCACAGCATGTTGAGCCGGGTGTTGAGGCGGAGGTACTTGAATACAATCGCGACACTCACGAGCGCCACACAAGCAGAAATGTTGGTCACGTCTTGGACCACCGACCCAATGTGCCCCAGGTCCACAAAGCAATCACGGCCACTACATGACTCGATTTGAGATATATATATATATATTGCATGTCACGAAAGAAAATAATTGGTACTCTGCAGGGTTTGCCCGAGCGAAAATAAATATATATTATGTATAAAGAAAAAAACCATTTTTTTTGTGTTTGTTATAAAACATAAATAGTTGCGCGACAGATATTTTGTGTAGTCTTAGTACTATCATACCTTGGATCATCATCATCTAGATCCATAAACAATCGACACAATCATATATATCAAATGAACCAATCAGATTGCAGGAAACCAAATATATATCATCCACGTCTAATTAGTGTGTGACATCATACACTTTATAACATATACAAAGAATCAATGGATGAGATCGAATCAGTCCATATTTTACCCGTCCCAGGACTACTACTCCAACAATTAACAACAGTCGATGAGAGGTCCTATCATTTTTGCATAATGTTATAGAGTGCATTATCAGAATAAACTAGATTTAAATTCCACGGAACATAAATACGCAACATTACATAGGACAGGTTATCACTAATTAGGTGAAATATACTTTAGTACTCGATTCTATTAATCATGCAATCTTGAAGGCTATAAAGTTTTAGATGATTCTAGGAACACGGGCGGATTCACCACAAAAAACTGCGTAAGAATATGACCTTCGTTTTACAAAATTGCTAGTTCAGCGTGAAAAATGTCCAGAAATCAAGCAAATCCATATACATTAGTTGCAAATAAATCAATCCTTTATATATTGATTAAATATACCTGAGAATGGACACACAGGTATGGCGGCGGACAATATCCTCGAGCACGGGAACCACATCATGACAAAGCCAGAGGTACTTGAACCAAGTCCACACAAGCGCATACAAACACCCGAGCTGGAGCACATCCACAGCATTCCACATAGACTGAGTGTACTTCTGGACGCCCACTTCCGAGCAGCTCTGCACCTCGCGCACTGTAAACATCCCCGTTACACCCCCCAGGAACAGCATCAGAATGTTCTCCAATGATAAAAATGCCGCCAAGCTGCGGTACCCGAGTACATGGAAGCTCCATATTCGCTGCGTGAGCTCAATGTGATCGGTGGATGAGATCTCAAACATCACTTGAAAGTGAGTAAACACGGCAGAGCTGGGATTGTACAGGGCCCATGTAGCTGCCACGTATCGGGTACTGGGGACCACCAGCGACTGCTGGAGCAGGCCGAGGACGACGGCGCCGGCGGTCGCGTTGTCCCGAGGCAAGTACGCCGTGTATCCCCCTATGGGTGGAAAGATAGGAATATATATATATATATGCCGTCGTACCAGTGCCATAGTCCATGCGAGCATTGATAATGCTTGGTGTAAACAGCAGCGAGCGCACGAGCAGCGGCAGGTCCTTCTCATATGCGATGATCTTTCCGACCGATGGATCGCCGTCAGATGATGACATGTATGGCGATGTGTCTTGTTGATGCAGGGAAAACGCGGGATAGCACACTTCGTCGGGGAAGAGCGACAGCGTGGACCCCGTGTCCATGAGTTCGCAGGGCATCCCTTGCATGCGGCCAGATCGGACCTGGATGCTCGAGATGCGGCGGACGTTCAGTTCCGTCGGGTGGTAGTACGTATCGAGGAGGACGTCGTTGAACCATTGCCACATTTCGTCGAGGCCGTCCACTTCGTAAAAGTTCTTCTTGAAGCTGACGTTGTTGAACTCTTGATCGAGGTACGCTTGCTCGAGGGCGTCGTTGTGCTCGAACGGCACTTGGATCGGTAACGTGCACACAGTCGTCATCATGATCGCGAGGAAGAGCAGGTACACGAGCAGTTCCTTGTAGAACGAGTTGCGCTTCTCTTCCTCGAGGGCGTACTGCACCCGCTTCATGTGCACGCGCATGGTCGAGTAGTACTGCATCTTCTGCGCCAACCGCGCCGCGTCCGACGGAACGCCGCCCACCAACGGTGTGCCACCTCGAAGCATGTTCTTGAGTCGGTCGGCTTGCTGGGCAAGCTTTGACCGTTGCGAGGTCGACACGCCCGACGTGTCATCTCCTCCATGGACATCGAGGCCCTGCGACGGCGGCGATGATGTGGAAGACAGTTGTGTACTTCGATTGCTGTCGCGCCTGGGGGTGGCCCCTGATGCAGCCAGCGGTGTTGCCGCGGCAGACTCCATGATCAACACCCTCCTGGTCAAACTTCGAATGAAAATACAACAAGTGGGACGCACCCATGCATGCGTTTAACCCTCTTCCTAAAAAACGTCAAAACGTTAAACTCGACTTTATCATTCAAAACTACTAATAACCAGTTACTTGTGCAGTACTACCTACTGTACACTTCCACGCTTTCATGCGTACCAGCGCACTTCAAAGGTTGCATGGCGTTGGCATCGTATGCAAAAGGTTGCTGTTGTTGTGAGTATATTGCCTGTAACGTTATCACAACGTTGTGTTTTGCATACAGTCGTAGTATAAACTGTACTAGTATTGTGCTTTTCACTGAACTTTGGACTTCGCAGTCGAAACTTCAAAGCGATTTCGAATGTTTTTCCCGACTGATTTTACCCAATCCGAAGCGACAGTCTGGAATCGAGTGATGTGATTGGCTTAAGACATTCATAATCTCTTTGTTTAGGCTATTCGATTCGCCTCCCCAGTCCAATTTAGTGTTGAATACACAATACTACACCGTACAGTATCGTATAAAACGTGTTTAGGTTTAAACGTAACACAAAGTGGGATACTAAATAGCACGGACACGTTCTTTCCTTGCGATTGATTCCATTCCCTGACATCGGCGATGGTACCGCAGCGCCGCGTCCACCATCATCTTCGTAGGACCTCCATCCTTCACGGAGCTTCCGCGACTCAATCTTCGACATCTCTCGTATCCTCATCATCATCCACGTCAACCCTCTGCCACAACCAACCTGTACTGTCTTACATCCAACGTTTATTATCGTGTTCAACGCAACCAGTTTGTGATCGGGTTGGTGTGCGCCGGCGCCGCTTTCTTAGGCTTGGTGGATCGGTCATGCAAGCTGTGGTTCTCTTTGTGCATGTCCCGGGGATGCAGTACAAGTCGACTACTTATGGGATGAGCAATCTCCCTCGGCTTGAGGTCTTCTCTGTGCATCCAGTGGAGTTGACGTCCCTGTGTCACTACCGTCTGGGCGTTTGAAGCACCGGGCGCCGCCGGCATCACGTCATGGAAACTCGCTAGCATGGACGACTGGCGGACGTCGAATGCTGGCAGGGGTCCTGCCGTGTGGGGCCGCTTGTGAGCCTTCTTGCGTCGTGGAGATGCCGCGTCCCCCCCTTGCATGGCCACTTCCGTCAACCGGTTGACTTGTTCCTTGGCCACATGGAGCTTCTGCACGACCTTTTCGTACTGCAACATGCGGAATCGATTCGCTTTCTTCAGGGCGGAAATGACCATGGCGGGATTCGCCAGGTCCGACTCCAGTGCGTTCATGTCGTTCGTGTTGAGGAATTGGACGGTCGCCGTATCGGCGTGCGCGCGCGTCACAGTCGCCTCTAACGCGACGATCGACTGCTTGGCGGTACGGAGGTCCGTGGTCAGGGTCTCATTCGCTCGAAGGAGGGTCGCGTGCTTGCTTGCCAAGTTCTTGTACGCAGCTTGAGATTTCTGTCCATACTCCTCCCACTTCTTCAGGTCGTTCTTGGATGCTTCGTGCTCAGCGTTCATCGCGTGGAGTTGTTTCCGTAACAACGACAGCTTGGTCTCGTACGTTGCCACGACGTCGTCCAGTCGACGACCTGAAGGAGATGAAGGCGACTTTGATGGAGAGGGGCCGTCGCCAGTGGTAGTCGTCGACGCTTTGAAGAACAACCGAATCGGCGCTTGGGCCACGACCTGTCGTCGGCATTGCGGGCATTGCTTCTTCGCCCGCAGTGCGGCGTGTATGCATCGGCCATGAAACACGTGACCACATGGAAGCGCATGGAGCTCATGAAGCAACGGGTCCAAGCATATCGTACAGTCGCCTTCGTCCATCCCACCACCGACGGCTTGCGTTCAACGTTTGAATTTGATTTCAAAGGGGGGAGTTCTTATCCGGGATTATTCCGGATAATTCATAGTCCAGAATACAAATCCTCCTCAACGAGATGGAGGCGCAGTGAACCGGCCGTCATGACGGCAATGGAAAGAGTGCTAGTGGCCTGAGCTTCACGCGTGCTTCTAATGTCGACACACATCCAAGAGGACCGCTGTGATACAACGACCTCTATTGGAATGTATGTATGTCAAACTAGTAGGACGCGATACAGCGCCAGCAGTACGATCAGCAGCACCACCGCCACAAACACGACAACTACCATGCTCAGTACTTTGATCGCGTATCGATCCATCGGCGTCATCGTCTGCAACGCAGTCCCTTCGTCGCGACTCAGTTGGAGGTGTCGATATTGCTTAGACAACGCACGCGGCCGCGCGTGCACCTTGGGGCTCTGTCCACGCACGTATTAGGTTCCCCTCATGTACTCTACATCCCACGACGTACATTTCGAAGCGCTTGGTGCAGACGTTGTCGATGATGTCTCCGTCTTAACGTGGGATGCGTTTGCTCCACATGCCACTGCTCCCGCTCCCCGTTGTCGTCCCTGGCCACTTGGTCTTCATGTTCCTGACCTTCGTCAAAGCTTTCAAACGCCCGCGAGAGCAACTCATTGTTAGCCGTCCCTCGAACGCCCGTCATGTCCGTGGGAAGCTCTAGCGTCTCCTCGACTTCGTCCATCGGCTCCCGCACGCCCAGTTTGCGCAGCATGCTCGCTTCCAGCGCCGCCTTGCGGCTTTGATGTCGTCGCGTCTTCTTCATGCTGTCGTCGCCGTTCACGGGGATGTAGTGCGCCTTGTCGCTCGAGCCATTTAACGTGTTCGAGTTGCTACGATAGAAAAACCTCCATAAATGAATATATAATCTATGGGAGGAAACGGTCGACGTACATGGTAGGAATACTAGACACATCGGTAGTACTACTAACGGTGAGTGGTGGGCCATCGTCGACCTTGTGTGAATCAAACACATGGCAGAGATGGGTTGCCACTTCGAAGAGGAAGATCGAGCTTTCAGCTGACGACGCCACGTCCAAGCTGTGCGAGACCCAGTTGTGAACGTCGTCGAGCATGACTTGGCCCTAGTATGCTGTCACTTACTAGATACTCCGGAGTAGTATGTGTGATAGAATGAGATCTGATATTAAAAGTACCTCTGGCGTAGCTAGCATTTGAACGTAGCTTTTGATGGCAGAGGTGGCTTGACTGGTGGCAGCTTTGACTTCGGGCGTACCAAGGGCTTGCGTTGTCTACGTGCATGTTGACATAACCACGATGATATGATCGAGGGGTGTAGTTACTTTGATGACGGCGGCGACGGTGTCTTGGATTGCTGCATGACCTTCGGGGGTCGAGAGGACGTCGAAGGCATGAGATTGCAGTCGCTGGGGGTAGATGAGTGGACGACGACAACGGTCAAGCAACACATGATGGGCAGGGTACCGTGGTAGTGTCTGTCCACGCAACGGAGGACTCGGTGGTGAACACGGGTAGCGACTTGGCGATGGCAACAGAGAGGAGGCGGGAGATATCTCGCGCTCGTTGTGGTGCAAAGCTCTTTAAGGTATCCCAGATGCGCTCACTCCACACGTTTGGGTTCATGACCGACGTCGAGATCAATTCCGCACCTGCAACCATGGAGCGTCGATGAGGCGGGAGTACCGAAGCATGCACGCATACGTACATGGGGTAATAACCGTCACGTCCACCGCTTGTCCTGCCAGTTGCATGAGCGCATACGACAGGAGTCCGAGGTTTCCTATCAGTCCCCGCGGCGGCGGTGGCAAGGGCGGTGGCGACGATCTCGGCACACCTGCCATCATTCGCTTGAAGTTCGTTTCGTCAACGTAGGATCAACAAATTTCACCCGTCTGCGGACCATACTAAAGGCAATATAAATTGTCGCGCCGGTTCGAAAAACCACGAGAATTTCGCGTTTTTTTATAAAAATGGCAATTGGGTTAGTTGAAAAACGCGAAATTCTATCCAAATTGTGTGAAAAATAGTCTAAATACCGACGTCCCATTGGCTGGAATCAGTCCAATAATTCCCCACCACAAATACATGATGACGGATGCCGACGGCGGTCACGCAGGGTACCCGCTAAGCATGCGGCGAAGCTCCAGCTCTGCATCATGGATTGATTCCACGATCCACAGTAACATCAGTGTCAAATACGATGTCAACGCCAGCGCTCTCTCGGTGGATGCCACGGGATCTGTGGGCGTCCTTGCGGGGAGGAAAGGGCTGTACGTGATCGATCTCGAGTCGCCGTACCAACCCGCCCGCACCCTCCATCACCAGGTACACATCGTAGATGCAATGCCCATCGGATCGTCGCATTGAAGTGTCTTGGTAGACCAAGTGGGATGTCACAGTCGTCAAGTGCAACCCCCACGTGCTCTACAAAGGGGTGGTTGCGTCCACGTCGAATCACAACACATTGCTGTGGAACATCGACTACAACACATCCTCGCACGTCGGCGGCGGCGTCCTGTCTTCCCATCAGCCTCTCATGTCTACCCTTCGCGCACACACCCGTCCTGTGAGCGACGTCGCGTGGAGTCCGTCCGAGCCGACCGTGCTCGCGTCGTCGTCTGCCGACACCACCACGCATCTGTGGGACATTCGAACCCCCCGAAAGCCCGCGCAATCGCTTTGTGCGTTCACCACCAGTGCGACACAAGTGGAATGGAATCGACTCGATGCGTTCTCGTTGGCCACGGCGCACGCCGGCGAAGTACAACATGTTCATATATGCTATTTCCATCTCCACTCTCATTTCCCACCCCCATGATTGTTCAATCGACCTACTGTATATTGTATTCTTAGTATGTACTAGTACTACTACGTATTATTAGTTTACTCCTAGCCTATCTTTTGTAGGCATACTATATATATTCCATTTTCAAACGGCACATATATACATCTATCACTATAACCAATATATATATATATGCCATTTTCAAACGGCACATAGATGAACATAATATTTATAGTATAATAGAAGTGTACTGGCTATGTAATATGTATACTACTAGTGTAGTACACTATATGTATATATATATAT